CCCTGGGCGAGGGGTCCCCGGGAGAGGAGCGCTCACCCATGGCTCTAGGCCGGAGGTCGCACTGCCCTCATTCCACCGCCGCGAGGTCGCGCTAAAGGAGACGCTAGAAGTTCCGGCGGCAGCCCGCGCTCCGCCCAGGACTTGGTCCGCAGGCCCCGCCCACCACAGCCACGCCCCGGCCCCGCCCCCGGCCGGCCCCGCCTGATCAGCTCAGCAGGCTTTATAAGGGGACGGCTCTCCCGTCGGGACCCAGCCAGTGACGCCTCAGTCCTCCCTCCCGGCCGCCACCCCGCCGACCGGCCATTCGCGCCGCCGCCATGGATCTCACCGCGATCTACGAGGTAAGCCCCGCTTCGCGCCGCCAACCCCGCCCGGCCCGGAGTCCCTGGCTCCTTTCTCCAACTAGGGTTCCCGAGAGCCGCCCCTCGGGCCCGAGGCCGCCAGCCGTTTTTCCCTGCCCCGTGGGATTGGTTCTCTTGGGGGGGGGGGACCCGCCGGGTCTTGTCCCAAACGTGGGTGGAGTGGTCCCTGGAGGTGGCAAGACGTTCGTCGCCGGGGAAGGCAGTCTGGTGGCGGAAATGCGCCCCCACCCCACGGCCCACCTAGGAGTTGCTGAGGGTGCGGGTTTCCGCGAAGGAGGCGGCCGGGGGCCCAGACTGGAAAGCCGACCTCTGGCCCCGACACCCAGGGGCCCTCTGAACGAACCCAAAGGGATCCAGACTCCAGGGTTAAACTTGGCCCGGATCCTGCAGTTATGATATCCCGGATGGATGTGTCTATCAGGGGAGTCCCAGAGACTCTAAAAATTGGGGGGTGCGGGGGGGTAGGGGACAGTGGCGTGCCCTGACTTTGGGCCTCCGTTGTGCCCGAAATCTGGGAGCTCAGGCTCCTAGGAGCCGGGGGATCGGCTTCTGCCCTGGATAAACTGAAACCCCAGGGTTTCTTCCTGTGGGTGGGGCTCAGCCCAGAGAACCCACAAACCGGGCGGGCAAGCTCTTGAGGTGCCCTGCCGCTGGGGCAGGGCGTCACCCTTCATTTTCAGTGTCTTAACCGCCCTCTACCCCGACAGAGCCTACAGTCGCTGAGCCCTCCTGACCTGGCATCTACTCGGGGAGGTGCTGAGTCCAGCCTGGGATGGCCTTCCTCGGGATCTTGGAGCTCAGCCGACTCCAGCCCCGCCGCGGTGACCCCCCGCCTGCCCGGGCGTTCTACCAGCCTGGTGGAGAGCCGCACCTACGCCTGGGTGCCACCCCCTCCAGGTTTCGCACCCCTGGCTCCTCGACCGGGCCCTGAACTGTCACCTTCACCCACCTCACCCACCGCAACCCCAGCCACCTCCTCCCGCTACAAGACAGAGCTGTGTCGGACCTTCTCGGAGAGCGGACGCTGCCGGTATGGGGCCAAGTGTCAGTTTGCCCACGGTCAGGGTGAGCTGCGCCAGGCTAATCGCCACCCCAAGTACAAGACCGAACTCTGCCACAAGTTCTACCTCCAGGGCCGCTGCCCCTACGGCTCACGCTGCCACTTCATCCACAACCCCAAGGAGGACCTGGCCACCACCGGGCACCCACACATGCTACGCCAGAGCATCAGCTTCTCGGGTCTGCCATCCGGCCGCCGGACCTCCTCACCGCCAGCCGGCCTCCCAGGCCCTTCCCTGTCCTGTTCCTTCTCACCGTCCAGTTCCCCACCACCGGCCCCTGGGGACCTGCTGATCTCACCTTCTGCCTTCTCTGCTGCCCCTGGGACCCCTGTGGCCCGAAGGGACCCCACCCCAACCTGCTGCCCCTCCTGTAGGAGAACCACTCCCAGCAATGTCTGGGGGCCCTTGGGTGGCTTGGCTAGAAGCCCATCTGCACACTCCCTGGGCTCTGATCCTGATGAATATGCCAGCAGTGGCAGCAGCCTGGGGGGCTCCGACTCGCCTGTCTTTGACGGAGGCATTTTTGGGCCGCCTCAGCCTCCTGCTGCCCAGCGGCGACTCCCCATCTTCAATCGCATCTCCGTTTCTGAGTGACAAGGGCCCGTCCAGTACATATCAGTTGGATCACAAGAGGGGCCATTTCTCCTGCGGTGGGCTCACGTCGGCCCTAGAGCCGTGAGGAACTGGGGAGCCCTTAGCAGGCTGTCCCCCTCACCTTCTCTGGGGCAGGTCCCCAGGGGACAAGTTCTGATAGTGTTTGTGGTATGAGGGTGCGCGCTATCTTAGGAGTTCTTGAAAGATATGATGTAGCAATTTACAGGAGGCAGTGAGCCCCCACCCCCCCCCCCACCCCCACTTCTCCCCTGCCCAAATCTATCTCCTAGAATCTTAAAGTGCTGTGAATAATAGGCTCCCACTGCCCCTCCCAAGCTTTCCTAGACCATGTGGTCCCAGCTTTTGAGGGGTCTTGGAGCCTCCCCTATGGGGACACCCACCCTGGTGCTCAAATTTCTCCCCCCAAACAAATAGCCAAAGCTGTTGCCATGTCCCATTTCCAAAAACAAAACCAAAAAACCCAAATGGGCCCCTTTATTTATGACGACTTTATTTATTCAAATAGATTTTATAGTATTTATATATTGGGTCGTCTGCTTCCTTTATATTTTTCTTCCACCTTTTGTAATATTGGAATTGATAATTATTAAATATACTATATTAATATATATTGTTACCTTCAAAGTCTATTTTTGTGTCTTTTGGAATTTTTAAATAAAAAGTGGAATCAATGTGTCAACGAGGAATCCCGTTGTTGATTTTTTTTGCCCTCCAACGGGAATGGAGGGGAAGGTTTGGCAAAAAGAGCCGGCTGGCGTTCCAAACTATACGAAGCTGAGCGGCCCGGGCGCTCACCTGGCAGGAAGTTGCGTCACCGGGCCCGGCCGTTCACCTGAGAGGGCGGGGCCAGGTGAGGTCACCGGTAGGAACCCGGAGAGCCGGTTCCCCGCGGCGTCGGGCACGCCTGCGCTCCCATCCAGCTCCTTGACCCAGCTCCGCCAGGTCGCGGGCGGGGACTGAATGTTTCCATCCCCGCGAGGCCTCGGGGGAGGGCGGGGCGGCGCGGGGAGAACGGAATGTGCGGGCGACCGGGCCCAGGGGCGGGTCCCCTGCGGGGGTGGGGGGAGAGGCCCGGGAGGGGTCGCCCCGGAAACGCCGGGCTGGAACTTTCGACTGCTTCGCAATCTCCGGGAAACGTTTCCAAGGCTCTGGCTGTTAGACTTGTGATTCCAGGATTCGATTCGGACCCTAAAAGGCTGGGTCGAACTGACCCCTAGTTTCCCAGGCTGTCCACTTCACAGGACAATCGCCAGTCTTCTCTCCCGCGAGGCCACGGGGGGATTCCACACGCTGACCTGGTCAGCCCAGGCCTTCCTCAGCCATCGCGCCACTGGACTCCTTCCCAGGATCCCGGAACTCAGGAATGTCCGAGTGTTGGCGGGTCCGACGCCCGAAAGTGCAGCAAGACGGCGGGAGCTAGGCGCTTCCGACCCCCGGGAGCTCGCGGCTCGCGCGCAGGTTCCCGACAGCGTCCGCCAGGTCCACGCGGAGGCGGGTCGTGACCCCGCGGCCCAGGGCGGGGCCCGCGCGAGCCGCGACCTCGGACCATACAAGGCAAGAGCTTCGGGAGCCGCCCCCGGGAGCCACGCCCCGCGCCCGGAAGCGGCCCCACGTCAGGGCCTGCGCCCCGCCTCTGGGCTCTGGTTTCCAACCCCCCGACTGCCCCTCTTCTCCTCCTCCCTCCACTTCCCTGTCCACTGCCAGCCCCCACCCTGCTGCCCTCCCCTCTTCCTCCTTCCTCTCTCCAGCCTCCGAGCCCGCCCTTCTCCTCCTCCTCCTCCTCCTCCTCTCCCCCTGTGTTTTTTATCTCCCTTCACTCTCCCAGCTCCGCCCATTACTCTCCACTTGAACCTTCCTCATCCTCATCCTCCCCCCTGCCCCCCTCCGCCAGGCCTGCCCCTCCACTCATACCCAAGCCCACCTTCGCCCGCCCCTCCTTCCTCTCCTCCCCACGCCTCCCAGGAGCCCTCATGATGCTGCATCCTGGGCAGAGAGCTGGCACCTTGGGAGACCCACACCGAAATTGGGGAGGCAGAGAACAAGTTGAGAGACAGACATCTCCGGGCTTCCCTTGAGAGGAACATCCCCTAGACCTCCTCAAAACACAGCCACTGGCACCTAAAAAAATGTCACCTACTACTAGCTTACGGGTGGGAGGAGGGGGGACGTGACTCCTACTCTCTCAAACATCCCAATTCTGTGTGATCCACCCTCAAGCGCCGCTGCCCCCTGCATACACCACCAGCATCATGTCCCCAAATGAAACTTTGTTGCAGCTAGTCCCCCCAATCAGCAACTAAAGGGACTGACATCTGAGTCACTTAGCACCTCAGAGCCAAAGTCCAAACCCCACAGGCCTGGGTCCCTGGTCACCTCCCCGCTAGTCACACAGGCTTCCTAGCTGGCTGTACAGTAGTCAGACAAGTTCTGGCCAAGGCCCGTGGGTCACCATGGGTCACTTCCCATCTGAGGTCTGTTCAAACTCGGCCTATGGGAAGCCCTCCCAGATTGCCTTGTTTAATACTGTCACCTCCACCCCATCTCCCACCCCTCCCTCCAGCGCTACTTGTTTCTTGACATTTCCCATCACCATCCATCGCCATAAAGGAGCCCTGGTGGACTGCTAACCTAAGGGCAAGGTCAGCAATTGGAAACCACAGCAGCTCCTCCCAACAAAGACAAGGCTTCCTCCTCCCTAAAGAGTTACAGTCTGGGCTATTTGATTGAGGTCTCTATTGGTTTTGAATACCCATTGTTGATGGATGTCTGCCCTAGTCTTTTATAATTATCTCTATAGGGAAACGGGATGATGGGAATTCAAAGATAATAAGGGGATTCATGATTACCTGGTGACGGAGGAGGAAACAGGGAGTCACCATAGATGTGTAAAAGAAGGGGGGTAGCTATAAAATTGATTGTGATGACTGCACAGCCTTTTTTTCACCTTTCTTGATACAACTGAACTATTGGATTTTATTACATGTATATGTTTTATTTTTTTTATTTAATTTTTTTTAAGTTACAGTCTTGGAAACCTACAGGGGCAGTACTACCCAACTTTATAGAGTTGCTTTGAGTCAGGATCAACCTGATGGCAGTGAGTTTTGAGTTTCAGTAACAAATGTACTTACTATGTTTATTTTTGTTTGTTTTTAAATTAACATTATTAAAGCTTAGGCTATGCTTACCGTTAACGTTGGCCTCCTTACTAGGACGCCAAACCAACCGTGAGGGGCAGTGACATGATCTTGCACACTTCAAGAACAGAGCAAGGTACACAGGGTATTCAGTATCTGTCGAATAAAGTAGGTTCAGAAACTGAAGGGAAAGAGAAACTCCCAAAGGGATACGGAGAAAAAGCGCGCTCCGCACCGTTTCCCACCGTCTGAAAGATCTGTACAGTTCTTAAACAGCTTTGAAGTCCTGTATTAGCTGCCCAGGGGATCTGTAAAGAGGCGATGTCTCCCCCTGGCGGCCGTCACAAAAGTCACACCGTCCGACAATACAGTAGCGCAGTGGGTCAAGGGCTTGCTCGGCTAACTTAAAGACCATCGGTTCAAATCCGCCCGCCGCTATGTGGACGCTGTGGCAGCTTCCGTAAAGTTCACAGCCTTGGACATCCGAGAAGCAGTTACACTCTGTCCTGCATAGTCACTACGTTTGGATCCATGCATAGACAGTTTAGTTTTGCTTTCTTATATCTGCACAACAAATAGTTGCCTGAATGGAGTTTCCCTAGCCCGCAAATCCTAAAAGTCAATGTGTAACGCAGAGGTCTCCGTTGTTTATTTAGGTTTATATTTTTACAATCAGTGGGAGGAGAAAATTTAAGTGCTCCAGGTGAGGATCGAACTCACAACCTCGGCATCGCTCCGCCCGCACTGTCGTATAAGTACCGCGCGCTAACCGATTGCGCCACTGGAGCTTCGGCCGCACCCTCCCGCGGAGGGGTCCTTCCAGTTCGCGGCCACGTGACCTCGCCCAGCGGCCCCGCCTCCTATTTGCTATGCAAATTGAAGTCCTTTAGGTTAACCAATAAGAGAGACCGCGTGGCCAATTCCGGATTCTCACGCTGGAGGGCCCTTGCTGTAAAAGGGAAAAGCCCGCGGGGCGCCTGGCATGTGAGGGCGTGGCCTGCAGGAAACTCGCCGCTTCATGAATATTCAGAATTCCGGGGAGGTGGGGCCTTAACCCTTTGCTAGCGGGCCGGCCGGAAGGCGGCCCCTCCCCCCCGCGGGCGGGAACAGGATATGAGCCCGGTCGGCAGGGGGGGAGGGGAAGCCCCGGGCGACCGCCCCCGGCCCCACAGCTGGAGCCCGACGCTCCCGCCCCAGATGTGGCGCGGCTGTTGCTGCCGAAGCCCGGCGTCTCCCATCCCGGCGCCCGAGGGACCTGAAGTCCCAGGCCCCGGCGTCCGGAATTTCCGCACCGCCTCCCGAGAGACCCCGGCTCCAAGCCCCCGGCGCCCCTCCCGGAGGAGCCAGGCTGTCAGCCTCGCGGACCCTCGCCTGAAGAACTCGGGGTCCCGGACGGCTGAGCCCCGTGTGGACGTCTTGGAAGTCCGGACCCAAGATCTCCTGGGTTGAAAGAACTCGGACTCCACCACCTGAGTCTTGGGCTGCAGCGCCCCCCCGCTTCCCGGGCCCCCCGGAATTTGGGAACACCCCCCATAAACACCGCGCTCCCACCTGGAGACCTAAGGCCTCGCCCCTAGAGGGCGGGGGGCGGCTCTGGGCTCCGGCCCCTCACGGTCCTTCCTAGGAGACCCGAGAATCCGGGTCCCCAGCCGGAGTCAGGCTCCCAGCACCCCCCACCCAGAGAGGGTCAAGAAACCGGGAGCCGCCGCTCCGGATCCTACGGGACGTGGGGTTCGGGTCCCTGGAGCCGCAGAGTCCGAAGTTCCCAAGGACCGGGGGGCCCGCGCTGGGCGCCCCTAGGACGCGGGCGGCCGGGCCCGGGCCCGGAGGCTCCGGGGAGGTGAGGGGGAGGCGGGGGCCTCGGCGGCGGGCAGGGGGAGGGGGCGGCGCCGGCGCCGCGGCCCCGAACAATGAGGGGGCGTGCCGGGGCCAGGCCGGGCGCCGGCGGAGCGGGGAGCTGCGGCGGGGAGGCAGGGTCCTGGGTGAGTGACCGGGGCGCGGGGCGGAGGGGGGGGTGTTGGAGGGGGGAGGAAGGGTCAGTCTTCGGGCCAGCGTCCCTGAGTGCAGCTCTTCGGTGGGGGAGGGAGCCGCCTATCCTCCGGACCCTGGCATCCGGTCCCCCAGCCTCCTCCGCCTTCCCCTGGGACCCCGCGGCCTCCCGCCCACGTCTTTTCCCAGCCCTGCCCCTCACCCTCGTCTCCAGCCCGAGCCCGAGCCCGAGCGTTCCCAGGGTCGGGGACTGGCCGCTCCGTGGGGCTCAGCTGCTCTGGGTCTGAACTTTCGCATCTTGTGGGTTCTCCCTGCTCCTCTCTGGCACCCGCCCTGGGTCTCCCCACTTCAGTTCCTCCCAGGGCCCCTTCACCGATGTAGCTTCTCAGTCCTCGGTCCCTGACACTTGGGTGACTCTCGGGAGGCCCATGGGGTCCCAACACACAGGAACGGGGTCTCTCTGCAGGAGCTGCTCTGAGCGCACCCAGCCATGCCTGAGGGCACTCAGGGACTGTCCAAGCCCAGTCCCAGCCTTGGGTGTGGCCGGAGAGGTGACGCGTGTGACTGTGGAGCTGTATGTGAGAGTCCGGCAGGTGAGAGGGCTAGGCAGGGATGGCCCACTATTCCTGCCTTGGTTCCAGACTCCCACCCAGGGCTGGGTGACACCGGCAGCGCACACCGAGTGCCCAGTGAGATGGGGGCATTGGCTGGGCTAAAGCTGTCAGGGTTGCCGGTTGGAGATATCTTGGCGCTGTGGGAACCTGGAAGGAGCACCTGACTCATCCTGAGATGTCAGGGAAGACGTCTTAGAAGAGGGGGACGGGGGCTCGTCTAAACTGAGACTCAAAGATTAGGTGAAATGAGTTGGGTCAAGGGAAGGAAGGGAATTCCACACCAAGGGAACAGGATTTGCAAAGGCTTCAGATGTGAGAAGCTTGAACTGGTTTAGAACCAGAAACTAACTATGGCAGGTGACCTCGGGAAGCCAGTAGGCTGGAAGGTCCCTGGCCCTGTGGATCTGAGGACTTTGGACTTCCTCCTGAGGGCATTGTAGGAGTTTTACCCAAGGGAGCGACAGAGGAGCAAATTCATAAAGATAGTCCTGGCTGCTGCATGGAGGTGAATTAAATGGGTGAGAGCAGATGTCTGAAGCCCAGGGAGATGATTGGTCAGATGGGAAAGGGCAGGACTGGACCAAGGCCGGGGAGGGGAGGGGGAGCCTCTGGGAGAGATGTTCACCAGCTATGGGCGTAGGCAGGTCGGAAGACCCTGACCCCTGCTCCACCCTCTGCAGGCCCTGCAGCCCCCGAGATGGCCTCTCGAGGCTCTGGTAGCATCACATCTCTGAGTACTGTGGGCTCTGAGGGGGACCCGGCCCCAGGACCCATCCCAGCATGCTCCTCGTCCAAGCCAGAGCCCCTTCCAGGGCCCCCCATCCGCCTACACCTGTCACCTGTGGGAACCCCCAGTTCAGCCAAGCCCTCTCGGCTGGAGCGAGTAGCCCGAGAGATAGTGGAGACGGAGCGGGCCTACGTCCGAGACCTCCGCAGCATTGTAGAGGTGAGTGGCCAGGCTCTGTCCAGCACATGGGGGCCCTGGCCCAGCCGGGCTGTAACCCATGTTCCCCCTACAGGACTACCTGGGCCCTCTGCTGGACGGAGGGGCCCTGGGGCTGAGCGTGGAACAGGTGGGCACGCTGTTCGCCAACATTGAGGACATCTACCAGTTCAGCAGGTCAGGGGTGGGCAGGAGCACCGGGGGCTCTGGAGGGTCCCGTCCCAGTGGCTGGCTGGGGGTCGTGCGAGTAGGCAGAGATCCTGATGGGAGTGAGAGAGTTGGGCAGGACTTGGGGGGCCCAGGTCACAGAATGGCATCTCTGCTGAGGGGTTCTGGGATTCTGACGGCCCAAGGATGACGGGAGGGTGACCAGCTTGTCCCAGTTGGTTCAGGCATTTGCTGAGGTTGGTGTTCAAAGTCCTGCCCCCACCCCACCTCAGCCCTGGGCAGACCTGGAGAGTTGGGTGAGGCGGAGGATGGAGGCCAAGGGGCATGACCCGCTAAGCGGCTTCCCAGGATCTTAGGGTCCTGTGGCCCTGTCCTTTGTCTGGACAGCTCTGAGAGGTTGCCAGGTGTCCCGGGAGAGAGTCTGAGCAGGTGTCATCTCCCAGGTAGTGATCACAGGACTCTCCCTCTGGACGTGACATGCCTTGGAGAAGCCCAGTCCCAGTGGGCATCCTGGAGCCCCCCCCCCCTGGGGGGAGGAGGGAGAGGTTTGGGATCAGGCTGGCCCTCACCCTCTTGCACCCCCACCCCCCTCTAGCGAGCTCCTGGAAGACTTGGAAGACAGCTGCACTGCAGGGGGCATTGCCCAGTGCTTCCTGCAGCGGGTGAGTGGAGGGGGCTAGGCGGTGGGTCATAGGAGGGCAGGGCCTGGCGCCCCTCTGACTCCCATGTCGCCCGCAGAGCGAGGATTTTGACATCTACACGCTGTACTGCATGAACTACCCGAGGTGAGGGAAGGGTGAGCAGCCCTTGCCTGCTCCCGACCCTGCCCAGCTGGTGCCCTCCGCCCATCCACCCCCCACCCCCCAACGGCACCCCTGACCTGCGTGCGCTGTGCCCCTAGCTCCCTGGCGTTGCTTCGGGAGCTGGCCCTGTCACCACCAGGAGCCCTGTGGCTGCAGGAGCGTCAGATCCAGCTTCGCCACTCGCTGCCCCTGCAGAGCTTCCTCCTGAAACCTGTCCAGCGCATCCTCAAGTACCACCTGCTGCTGCAGGTCAGCCGGGCCGGCAGGCTCCAGGGCAGGGCTGGGGCCAGCTGACCGCCAGGGTTGCAAGTGGCGGGTGGACCTGCCATGCCCTGGGAGCACCTGGGGGGGAGGCTGCTGGCCCCTGGAGACTAGGCCAGTGGCCTAGTCTTGTGGGCAGTGGGGGCTTCTGCCAGCTGATGCCACATTTTGCCTTAGCCTGTTTGTCTGTCTAGATCTCTCTTTCCATCTTGCTTTCTGCAAGTCTGTTCATCTCTGTCTACCTGCCATCTCCGTCTTTCTCTCTCCGCATCTCTCTCTCTAACTCTTTCTCTTTATTTCTTCAGCTCTCTACCCCTCTGCAACTCTCTACCTCTCTGTGTGTCCATCTATCTTTGTCTTCATCTGTCTCTGTGTATCTCTACCTATTTATATATGTGTGCATGTATGTGTATACACATGCACATCTTTATCTCTGTCTCCATCACGGTCTCTCCACTTCTCTGTCCCTGCGTATCTGTCTCTCTCCATCTCTGTCTTTCTGTGTGTGTGTCTCTATAGCTGTATCTTTCTCTGCGTGTGTCCCTTTTGGTCCCCCTCACCACCTCTGCCCCCACCTGTGTGTTTCTCCATCGCCGTCACCCTCACGCAATCATTCTCTCCCCCTGCACCCCCATGGCCACCTGGCAGGAGCTCGGCAAGCACTGGGCGGAGGGCCCGGGTGCCGGTGGCCGGGAGGTGGTGGAAGAGGCCATCGTCTCCATGACGGCGGTCGCCTGGTACATCAATGACATGAAGCGCAAGCAAGAGCATGCTGCCCGCCTCCAGGTGGGCTCAGGGGGAGGGTGCTGGGCTGTCTGGAAGTGGGCATGGGGACCCTTGTGGGGGATCCTCTGAGGGTGGGCTCAGAGGACCCGCTCTTGTGCTGAACCACCATCTGGTGGGATCCTGGCAGGATGTGCAGCGTCGCCTGGGCGGCTGGACGGGCCCAGAGCTCAGTGCCTTTGGGGAGCTGGTGCTGGAGGGCGCCTTCCGGGGTGGAGGCGGCGGCGGCCCCCGACTGCGTGGGGGTGAACGGCTGCTCTTTCTGTTTTCACGGATGCTGCTGGTGACCAAGCGCCGGGGCTTGGAGTACACCTACAAAGGCCACATCTTCGTGAGTCTGAGCACCGGCACAGCATGGCGGGGCTGCAAACCTACCTGACTGAAAGGGTCCTGTCTAGTTTAGCCTGAGGGTGTGGGGGCAAGGATTGTTAGGGTGGAGAGGAGGTCTAGCCAGTCTGGGGAACTCGGGAAGGAGAGAGGAGGGAGCCCAGAGTGCCCTTGGTCCCCTGCCAGGGTCTGTGCTTCCGGGAATCTCGGGGTCTCGGAGCCTCCCCCACTCTCTGCTTCCACATGTAGTGCTGCAACCTGAGTGTGAGCGAGAGTTCTCGAGACCCCCTGGTGTTCAAGGTGGTGGACCTGACCATTCCCAAGCACAGGCACCTGTTCCAGGTGAGTGCCAGCCAGGGCTGGGCTGGCCGCCCCAGGGCCTCACCCCTGGCTCCTTGGCTCCACACCCCTCCCCTGCTCCCCAGGCCAAGAACCAGGAAGAGAAAAGGCTGTGGCTTCACTGTCTGCAGCGCCTCTTCTTGGAGAACCATCCCGCCTCCATTCCTGCCAAGGTGAGATGCTTGTGGGACCCTCAGTCTCAAGAGACCCTCCCTCTGCACTCCTCGCACCCCCATCCCAAGAGACCCTCCCGAGACAAGGCGAGCCGCTTAGAATGGGGCAGTTCAGGGTGTTCGCGCAGTCAGGCCCGCTCCCTGGATTCCCCCCCCCACCATCGTGGCGCCACCGCGACCTTGCTTTGTGACCTTGGCTGCCTGGGTTCTGGACCTCCCCGTCTGTCCCTGGGGGAAGACGAGGCCTGCCTCAGAGGGGTGGGGAGGGCACCCACCAGGTGGACAGCACCTGTGGGGGGCACTCAGAGGTAAAGCCCTCTTTGCCCTTGTCCCTGTCTCTTCCAGGCTAAGCAAGTTCTTCTTGAAAACAGCCTGCACTGTGAGTTTGGGGTCCCAGTCGGAGGAGGGGGAAGTAGAGGAGTTTTTCCCCCAGGAAAAAGTGGGTGCTTTAGCCCCCAAAACTGCCCGCAGGTGCTCCAAAAAGTAAGCCCGTCCCAGAACCACTGACACCCCCACTTGGGTCTCCTCGACCCCGAGATGCTAGAAGCTTCACCCCTGGACGAAGGAACACAGGTAAATGAGATGGGACTCCCAGGTTCTGGCTCCCCCAGCCCCTCTCTCCTAGGACTCCCAGCCCCCTCCCCCCTCAAGCCCCAACTCTCTGGGCCCCTGTGAGCCCCCAGCTGAGCCCCTAATAGGGTCCTCTCCCCACTTCTCCGGCAGCTCCATCCCCTGGCCCCCCCAGGACCCACCACAGCCGCCGGCAGTCTGGTAAGAGTGCCCACCACCTCAGGAGTCACCACAGGCTGGGGGAGGGGAGGATGGCCCAGATGCCACTGTGGCCTCACCCCAGAGCCAGCCGGCTGAGGGGCCTCTGTCACGTGTCCACAGATGGGTCAGTGACTCCCCAGCTGAGCCTGTCTCTGCCCTGGTGGGAGACCAGGAATGGGGGTGAGGGGGCAGCCCGTCGGTTATAAGGATAACTCATGTTCCTCCCCCTGCTTTTTCCTGCCCCCTTGCACCTCCCTCAGCTAACCCCAGACTCAAGGTAAGAAATATGCCACCCCCACCCCACCCCCGGACCCCTGGGTCTGGTGGAGGCGGGGACTAGGGGAAGGGGTGGATGGGCTACTCCTGTGCTCATCCCACCCCCTCCCACAGCATGCCGGCAGTGAGGGGGAGTACCACTCCCCCATAGGGTCTCAGCCCCCCACTCCCGCTTCTGGACCCCCTGAGGAATTGGAAGAAGCCAGACCCCCCACCCTGGACCCTCCTGGGACCTCGATCACTGAAGAGATCTTGGAGCTGCTGAACCAGAGGGGCCTCCGAGACCCGGCGGTGAGCGAGGTCATGACCTGCTGGCGCCAGGGACCTGGGCTGGTCCCCCCAGGGACCAGAGGGGCCCACCCTCCCTGAGACTCTGGCTTCTTCCCCAGGGCCCTCTACAGCGGTCCCCCCGTGACAGCCCCAAGTTCCCCAGAGACTCCGAGGTGCCGCTGGGCAGCAACAGCCTCCAATTCCAAGCCCTGCCTAGCCGGGACTCTTCAGAAGAGGAGGAAGAGGAGGAGGAGGAGGAGCTGGAGGCGGATGAGCGGGAGCCTTCCCCACTCCACGTCCTGGAAGGCCTGCACAGCACCAGTGCCGCTGACATTCCCGACATTCCGGGCCTTCCCCAGATTCCTGCCACTCCTGGCCTTCCTGAAATGCTTCCTGCCATGCCTAACCTCCCTGCCAGCCCCAGCACCCCCACCCTCCCCTGTGGCCCCCGGCTCCAGGGGCCCCTGCCTGAGCCCGCTGCCCCTCCGGCTGCTAGGAGAGAACTGTTGCCTGGTGACCATCAAGAGGCCTCCGGAGGCCAGGCCGAGCCTGAAGAGGAGGAGGAGGAGGAAGATGGAGATGGCTCGTTCTCGGATTTCCCACCCAAAGAGGTCCCCGAAGATCCTGGATCCCCAGGTGAGCCGGAGCCTCACCCTTGCCCAGAAACCCAGAGCGGCTGGCCAGCGCTGGAGCAGGAGCAGCTAGCCCAGCCCGGCTTCCCGGAGCCGCTGCTGATCCTGGAAGAATCAGACCTGGCCGGAGGCTGCCACAGCGAGAAGGCAGGGCTCCCTGGTGGGGAGCGGGCAGCCTCCCGGGTGCGAGAGCTGGCGAGGCTCTACAGCGAGCGCGTCCAGCAGATGCAGCGGGCAGAGACCCGGGCATACGCCAACGCACCCCGCCGCCGGCCTCGGGTTCTGGCCCAGCCCCAGCCGTCTCCTTGCCTGGTCCCCGAGCAGGCCCAGCCAGGTGAGATCCCGGCCCGTGGTTGGCAGAGGTTGCCCCCTCGCCAGCACTCGGCAGCTCTGATGCCCCGCCCCCTCTTGTTTACCTTCAGGGCCCCTGGCTGCCTTCGGACACATGCTGGTGTGTGAGGTGCCCTTGGCGCTCATTTGTGCCCAGGAAGCTGTCCCCCTGGGCCCTGCTGCCCAGGTGCAAGCTGCCAAGCCTTTGTCTAAACTAGGAGGCTGCCTGAGCAGCCAGAGCCTACCTGTTTCCCATTCGCCGGAGCGAGGCCATCTGGCCAGTGAGGCTCCCACCCCTTGGCCTGGGACAGGAGACGTCCTGGCACCTGCCACCATGCCCCCGCTGCCAGTGCAAGAGGTCCCCCCTGACATCCAGGCCCCAGCTGCCATACCTTCCCCCCGTCAAGAAGGCCACCTGGGAGCACACAGTCCAGCCCACGACCCTCGGCTGGAGCCCGGAGACCACCAAGGAGAATCCTCCACCCTTCTTCCTGAGCAAGGACGCCACGCGCACCTCCAGGTTCAAGCCCCCTCAGCTGTGCCCAAGCAAGACGCCGACCCAGAGAGGCCGAGCCCCCCCAGCCTCCTATCAACTCAGCATGGAGACCCCAAGGATGTTCAGGCTCCAGCCAGCACCCCACTGCCCTTGCCACAAGACCTGCCCAACTTGCAGGTGTCAGGCACCACATCTGTGCCTCCAGGTGGAGAACACCTGGACCACTGGGTCCCTGCCAGCTCTCCATGGTCTCTACCACAGGACCCTCTGGACCTGCAGGGACTGGACACCATGCCTCTGTGTGCACGTGGAGGCCACGTGGGCCATCCGATGCAGGCCAGTGCACCGTGGTCTCTGTCCCAGGACTCCTCGGACACTGAGGGTCCAGGTGCCTCGCCGTTGCCCCTGGTGCAGGGCCTCACCGACACCCGAACACCTTTGTCCAAGCAGGAGAGCTACCCAAATGCACAGAGCCCCACGAATGCCCCTTTGCTTCTGGAACAAAGCCTCCCCGGGCACCACAGCCCAACACATTCAGCTGTGTTGGAACAGAGCAGCCACACAAACATTTCTGTGTCTGAACCAGCGGGCTCCCCAGACATTCTGCCCACCCCAGCTCAGACCTCCAAGCCAAGAGGCCACTTGGACTTGACCCCACCCCAGAGCCCACCCCCCCCCACCCATCAGCTCCTGGGTCCTAGTGCCATTGCCCTTTCGAAATACTTAGCAGCCTCATACATCAGCCAGAGCCTGGCCCGGCGGCAGGGGCCTGGGGGAGAGGTTCCCCCAGCTGCCAGGGGCCCCTGGCCCTCCTCGGCCCCCACCTCACGGGCACCTTCGCCCCCTCCCCAGCCCCAGCCTGCACCACCTCCAGCCAGGAGGCTTAGCTATGCTACCACCGTCAGCATTCACGTTGGGGGTGGGGGCCGACTGCGGCCAGCCAAGGCCCAGGTCAGGTTGAACCACCCTGCCCTCTTGGCCCCCACCCAGAAGCCAGTGGGTTCTCGAAGGGCCCAAGCCCCTGACACCCCTTTCCACTTGTGAGCTAAGGACTCAGATGCCCCGAAGAGTAAAAAGGACACAGCTGGCTGGAAGCCACAGACCCTCCACGTGACTCCGGATGCCGGCCCCAAGCTTGCTGCCACACCAGCTCTTGGGATCCGCTGGAGCCAACGGCCTCGCACGGTCGCATGGGTACTTTCTTAATACTGAGAAGTTGTATGTCTCACCACTCTGGGGCGATGGGGGATGACGGGAAATTGAATGAATGGGAATGTCGGGCGTAGCACAGGGCTTGTGGTTCTGAAGAAGGCGCGATGGTGCCATGTTCAAAGCCCTGTGGGGAATTTGTGGAAACAAAAAAAACCCAGACCTACAGCTCTAGTGTATGATTTCAGGGGGGGCTTCTAGACCTGAGTCCTCATCTGGGAGCCCCAGGATCCAAGGGGTTCTCCCTAAGAGTGCATTGTCATCTGCCCCGTGGGTGTGTGTGTGTGAGTGTGGTGTGTGTGTGTGTGCAGCTGCACCACTGACCTCGCCTACCAGCCCACTTCTCCATCCTGGGCCCTCCAACCCATATCTACCCAGCCTTTGCTACTGTGGTCATCCGTACATTGTCCTGCCCAGCATCCTCTCCTCCATCCTCTTAACCCCACCCGTGTGCCCATCTCTGCCATCCAGTGCTCCCCATTCCTCCACTGTCCAGTCTGTCTAGCCACCTACCCACCCATTCACCTCTACCTCTACCCATCCCTCTACCGTGGGCCCTTGTACCGCAAAACTACTAAAAAAAAAACTGTCATGTGATTTCTGACTCTTAAGTGCCCCTGTGGGTTTCCCCGACTGCAAATGTCGGGGCTTTTCAGATTCAGAGCTCCCAAGGAGTGTCCCACTGCCACCTCTGTCCCCATGGCAACCTCCCCCCACTGCCATCTTCATGAATACCCCACCCACACACCCTCTTTCCAGCTTGGGGCCTTCTACAATGCCTCAATGTGCCTCTCTCCACTTTCCCCTGAAAAATTCAGGTCATGGGGACAAAGGGCTTTTATATTAGGATCCTTCTGCCCCCTCCTTCCAGCAGCAGTCACCGCAGTGAGAGGCATAATTTAAGTCGTTTCTCTGGCAATAATATTGGCTTCCTTCATCAAACAGTCCCTTGTCCTTTAACATAGCAAAGAAAGTCAACCAACCACACGACCAGCGTGTGGCACACAAGTCGACTCCCATCCAGTGAGAATTTCCCCATGCTTCCAAGACTGAGTCACAGGGCAGTTGGTGGATTTGAACTGGCAATCTGTGGTCAGCCCCCGAGTGCTAACTGCTGTATTACCCAGGCCCCTGTGTTTCCATATGGTACTCCATCTCCACTGTAATGTGAGACCCCAGAGAGGCATGGCTGTTTGAGCCTTGCCTTTCCCACTTCCTTGGCACGTGCGTGCCTGCCCTCTTTGTAGCCACCAGGAGCCCAGCAGACCAACCTTTGCTTCGCTGTTGAGGGCTCTGGGAGTGTCCTGGAATGATGTCTGTGTTCTAGTCCCAAACTACTAGGTAAAAAAAGGGGGGGGGGGGCTAGTCTGAACGTTAGCAGCAGAGTTGAGAATGAAGGGACCGTGTGCCAACAGCACACCACTGGTTCACAAGTCCCTTTCCAAAGGAAAAAACTCCCAGTGCGTCCTGGCCATTAAAAATGTTTGGACTCTACCCCACAACCCAAACTGCCAGCCCCTCGGGAGAAAGGCGGCTTTCTACTCCCATGAAGCCACAGGGGCCTGCCCTGTCCCACAGGGCTCATCTGAGTCGGCACTGACTTGACAGCCAAGTTTAGTACCCTAGGGGCCCCGGGAGGGTGGTATAACCCACTTTGGGAAAGTCTGCTTTAGATGGAATTCTGTCAAGTTCTTCCAGTCCCCTGAGGGGAAATGGAAGCCTGGAGAGTAAGGGACTTGGTCTTCTCACACAGCGGGCAGGGGCAGACTTGAACTCACAACCTGACAGTCCATGGTCCAGTGCACCTTGAGTACACACACCCCACCCCCGTGCAGACACTGTTCTTGCCATGGGGATCTCTGAAGGGGGCAGTTCCCTGCCCACACAGCCTCTCGTTAAGGTCCCCCATGTGACCTCATTAGCTGAGGACCTGACACAGGCCTGGCTGCACAGGTGACAGCCAGAGCCACGGAGGACCCAGGACCCAGCAGCAGTTTGTTAATCGTGAGGTCAAGGCCAAGGAGGTAACCAACTGCACACCAACTTCCAGCCCTGTCTGCTGTGCACAGGGCCCAGGCCCAAGACAGCAGTCTCCCAGGTCTTCAGGGCCCTGCAGCTGCCCTTCCCTCCACCGCCCGTTTGCATTCCCGGCTGAAGGAAAAGTTCCCACCCAGGCCTGAGCTCCCGGCAGCGCCGGAATTCCCGGTATTTAAAGAGGCGGCAGGGAGGGAGAGGGGGGGCCGTCTGGAATGGGGAAGGCGTGGAGCCCCTTTGTCCTCTCCAGATGAGTCCCAGCTGTGCCTCTGGGAGGGCCTGCATTCACATGGGCTCCCTTAGGAAGCCCGTGGGTGCCAGGCCAGTTCCCACCCCATGCCCAAGGCCAGCTCACATGCCATGTCAGATGTCCCCTGGGGAACTCTTGTTGGCCATTGTCCCACCTGTCTTCAGTTAGAGGAGCAAAGGGACAAGGGCAGTGCCATTTGCCTCCCTCAGGACACAAGACAAAGGCCAGCTAAAATCCACTCAGGCTGGGTTTAGACTCCAGCTCCAAGGGACCCGCCACAGGTTGAGTTCCACCACCTCCCAGGTGTGCCCAGTCAGGCTTAGCCCAGCATCTCCCTCCTGCCCAACCCCACCCACTCATCACCAGGGCTGCCACCAGAAGGGGCAGGACACTTGCTGTGCAGCAGAGAATAGGGAGGCTAAAAGGACCGGGTTTCAGGGAGAAGGCAGTTAGGCAACACTTCTTCCAAGTGCACCATTGGGTGCTCTGGCCCTGGAGGCAGTGGGCAGGGTCGGGGCCCACATGGCAGGAGGCTGCACATCCAGACCTATCATGAAGCTCACCAGTTGAGCCCGGCTCCCCCCCCCCAACAGCTGCCTCCGTGGGGGGAAAAGGTTTGTGGTCGCTGATCCAGGACAGACCCACATCTACCCCTTAAGTGCCTGAAGGGGAGCAAGGACCAAGCCAGAAAAGAAACTTAAGGTGCTGCTCACTCCTCCAAAGGGCATGATGAGGAGCCAGGGAGGAGGAGCCGGCTTCTGCTTGTCCTCCCCTGCCAGCAGCCCCCCACCCCACTTCCCCTGGCTAAGCAGTTTCCATCACCAGGCCACAGGGCAGACACAGGCCCATTCCTAGCCCTTTCAGGTGACACCATAGGCCCTGGACATGATGGACATGGTCCCTCAGGGAACCACCTGATCCAGTCCCCTGCACTCCTAGGGCCCAAGGTGTGCGAAGCCCATACTCCATCCCTCCACCCCACAGATCCCCAAACTGATGACCCACCACCCTTTTCAGTGAAAACTCCCACCCAGCCCCTGACTATTCCAGTGCCTCCCCCAGGAAGTGATGCAGCCCACTTTGTCAGGCCAAGAGACATCCTCCGCAAAGGACTAAAAAAACCAGGCTGAGAATGATGCTTGAGTGCTGTTGTCCAGTAAAGGACCCCACTGGACACACCCACGGGTGGGGCTGGGCACCCAGTGGTGCTGAGCCAAGCACGGGGCCACTGACCACCAGTCTGCTGTGTTGTGTGCTAATTCTCCAGCCTGTGCCTCAGAAGCCCTGGGGGACGGCCCCACTGTGGCCTATGGCAAGACCCTAAGAGTTGGGATCCAAGGGATAGTGGTTGAATTTAATGCTCCCCCAGATCACAGCGCAGACCTTGGAACCTGAAATTCCCAGAACTTCTGTTTATTATAAAGGTAGAGCCCCTTCCTGGAGGTGGGCTTATCGGTAGGATTTCTGGTAGCGAGCACGGGCACCGGGGCCACCGAATTTCTTGGACTCGCAGCGCCGGGGGTCAGCTACAAGCAGGGTTCGGTCATACTGGATGAGAATGTCTTTGATTTCCTTCTTAGAAGCCTCGTCCACATCTGGGGAGGAGAGAAGGTTCAGTTAGCAGGGAGATGCACAAGCTGGCATTGGGGGGGCGGGGCGCAAAACAGGTTCTTTATCAGTGCCCGGCCCCCATCTGGTGGGAAGGCCAAAGCCTCTACTTACATTTCTGGTAATACGCAACCAAGGCTTTGGAGATGGACTGGCGGATTGCTGGGGGGAAGAGGTGCACACAACAAGGTGAGTGTCATGAGTACCTTGCTCCCAGAGCAGCCTCCCACCCCCACACCAGCTCCTAGGACTTACCATAAATCTGGGCCACGTGGCCACCACCCTTCACCCGGACTCGGATGTCCACACCAGCAAACCGCTCTTTCCCCAGAAGCAGAACAGGTTCCAGAAGCTGAAGGAACAGGAGCCAGGGCACGACTTTAGCTACAGCTGCAATATGGATCCCTTCCTTCCCACAGCACCCGCCACATCTCAAAAGACTAGTCACTAGCGGAAGGGGCTGGACTCAGAGCCCCTTTACGCAGCCTAGAGGTCAGGGAAGGCAGGCCTAACCCAAGAGCACCTGAGCTGCTTCCCTCCTGTTTGCTTATCTCAAGCCCCCCACCCCCCCCCCACCCCCACAGTCTCCATCCCTCAGGCCAGAATGTTGACAATAAGGAAAACCTTTGTTATCACAAAGGTGACTTCATTGTCACTCCCGGGCTGTCAGGTACAGTTCCGAGACTCCTCCCCTTAGCCCTCAGCGTCACTCCAGCCTCACACCAGGGGTATCAGCCATGCTACTCCCACTGACCAACACGTCACAGCTTTGCACAGTAGCGATGTGACGTGCGGCAAAGAGCACTGGCTCTGATGACTACGACTACTTGCCAGCTTCTCTGGGCTCGGATTCTTCGTGCTTTGGCAGTGTCATGATGGAAAAACCTGGCAATTAGGTCAAGGTGTGATCAGCCTCCATGTTCACATGTAAAATACGTGATCTCTGAACACAACCAGGTGGCTTAGTTGAGAAGTGTGTGTGCACTACAAATCACTGCCAACCTGGACCCTTCCCAGCTCTAAGCACTGTGTTAAGTGATGCTTCTGCCCACCTCTGCTTTGTCTGTTGTGAGTCGTCTTCCCTAGGAGGGCCGCCTTGACCCAGATCCCATGTTTGGGTCAGAGGCCTTCTCTACTCTCTGGAATGCCAGCCCTGACCCATCTGTGTCAGCCTCTTGGCACTGGGCATCTACAGCGTCCAGAGCAGCTTCCGTGGGGTTTAGCAAAAACAAGACAAGCACCTCTAGGTGCTCCCCCTTTTAAAGTGGAAATAGACAAACTGCGAATAGGGCACCCGATCCCCATTGCCTACGGCAGGCGATCAAGCCACCTGGGCCCCATTTGGGGCTGATTCCAAATAAATACAACCTTTAAAAGTTTCCTCTTCCAGCCCCGCTTTTACCTATCAGACGGATCTCAAGCCCAGCACTATCGCCACGCCAACTCAGCCCCGATCGTTTCGTCCACACCAGGTCCACCAATTCCAGCACTCCAGTGTTTTATAACAAGTCCGTCCCCAGAGCCAGCACCCAACGCCGCCCCCCGCGTCCCAGTACCTTGTACTGCAACGTACGCGGCTCGATCATCTCCAGGGGCCGCCCGTTCACCTTGATGAGGCCGTTGCCCCGTTTGCAGTGCGCCACGGCTGTGGCGGTTTTCTGCGGGAAAGGAGCGGCAGAGAGCGGTGCCACGTGAGTTCCGGGGCCCCAATTCCTAAGAGGATCCCAGACCCCCTACCCACCGCCGTCTCCCAGACTTCAGCCTACACCGGGCCTGTCTCACCCAGAGAGCGCCCGACCCACCTTGCGTCCGAAGACCTGCACGGACTGCAGAGGCCCCTTGGACGGCATGGCTGGCGGCTTAAGAGCTCCTCACCGCGCGGCGCTGCAACCGGAAAAGGAAAGCGCGGGGCCACCTCCGCCGCTTTTCAGGGTCTGCGCAGGCGCAGTGAACGCTGCGTTCCGACGAGGGCGCTTTACGGCTGACGTGACGTCGGGGGGCGGGGCCTCGGGTTGGCGAGGGGAGATGGATCATGGGAACGGAGGGGGCGCGGTTTGGGACGTGGAAGGGGCGGGGCCTGAAGGATGACAAGAGCTGCGGGAGAAGGCTATTCTCCCTTGTCCCACCCCGCCCCCTCTGTTGTCGATTATCCGGAATCCGAACACCTGTTGCCATCGAATCGATTCCGACTCATAGCGACCCAATCTAGGTTTTCTGAGACTGTCAGTCTTCACGGGAACACACAGCCTCATCTGAGTGGCTGGTGAGTTTAAATCGCTGACCTAGAGGTTCGCAACCTGACGGGATAATCTAACTGCAAGATCAGTGGTTCAACCCCACCAGCTGCTCCGTGGGAGGATAATGAGGCAGTCTGCACCATGAAGATTTACCACCTCAGAAACTCCTTGGGGCATTTGGGGCAGTTCATCTCTGCCCTGTGCTGTGAATTGAAACGGAGGGTAAGGGGGCGGTGTTAGTGCATACTCCCGATATCCTCAGAAACACACCCCACAATAATATCCCCTCTCCAGGGTCCTTACACCAGCTAAAGATCTCTCGAAAAAGTTCACTGCCATCGAGTCAATTCCAACCCACAGCAATGCTAAAAAGTAGGGTAGAACTGCCCTGTGGGTTTCTGAGACTAACTTCACAAGAGCAAAAAGCCTCATTTTCCTCCAAAACTGTCTCTTCAGTCAGCCCCTCCAAATCACCTTTTTCTCTAGGCCTCTTTCGCGTGGAATTCTCCAACCCGTCCCTGTTTGGGCCTGCCACCTCCTCCCAGGTTCCCCAGCAGACTCCTCTCACTCAGGGCGTGCCCTTCCAAACCAGAGTTGCCCTTCTCTTCGGATGAGGGGGCCTAGGGTTGCCTCAGTTTGTCTGACAGCACTGGGTCTGGGGTCCAAGGTTCAAAGGGGTGTGGTGACTTACCTTGGGCCCAGAGGGTGGAGACAGGGTGGAGAGAAGAGGCCCGGACAGGCCAAAGGGAGCCTCCAGCCCAGAGTCCAGCTGTAAAAGGGTGAGAGAGGGAAATGGAGGGGTGAGGGGAGGGGGGGTGGCGGTAGGGGGTAGAGGAAGGGAACCCACAGAAGCAGACCTGGAGGGACTCAGAGACAAACAAACAGACACGGCACAAGAGAGAGGCCAAGACCAAGATGAGTTTAACTGAAGAGAAGAGGCAGAGAAAAAAAAGAGAGAGAGAACGCGCCATCAGAGTAGTCAGAGATGGATCCAGAGCAAACAAGTCCAGGTCAGGGACCAGGGACACAAAGGCAGAGAAGCTTGAAGACACCCAGAAAGGAGACAAATAAAAAGGAGAGGTCCTCACAAGCCCCACAGCCATGTAGTGGGTTCTGGACGGGGTTCCTGAGATGGTAACTCTTTATGGGAGCAGACAGCCTCGTCTTTCTCCCTCAGAGTGCTGGTGGGTTTGAACCGCCAGCCTTCCTAAGGTTAGCCAGAGAGCAAAGGCACCGACGAGGCCTAGCACAGGCCTTTCCCACAAGAACACACATCATAGGCCAGACAGACAGACAGTCCACAAAAGCTATAACTGCTACTTAGGAGGCAGACGTGGGGGAGGGTTCCAAACTCTGCAATCTTCCACAGCTCTCTAAGCACTGGGTTACACCCTGGGGATTAGGGAGCCCAGTCTCTCTGTTTTGGGGTTATCATCTGCCCCAGTCTCTAAGGGCACATCTCCCCATCCACCCCCATCTGTGATTTGAGGGGAGCTGGCCTGTCCTGGAGGAGGCTGGGAGCAATTGTCTTTCATCCAACTGGGTCCCTCCCTCTTGCCCTCTGCCTCCAGGACCCTGTCCTTGGGGGACAGAAAAAGCCAAGAGGAGAAGACCTAGTGCTCATGTGGCTTCTCTGGACCATCCTCCTGCTGGCACGACCTTTGTGGAGCCTGGGGACCCCCCTCTGCTCTCGGGAGCCTTTCAAGTTTCTGGTTGCTATCAAGAAGATTCTGGTGAGGAGGGAAGGGGGCCGGTAAGGAAGGGAGAAGCAACAGACCAGACAGAAAAAAGTTAGTTGGGGGATGGAGAGGGGGTATGTTGAAGGTCAGGCTCGCCCTCCCAAGCTCTGATCCTCCTTCTGCCCTGAACCCTCAAATTGTAGGGCAACAGAAATGATGGCACACTCTACACCCCAGATGATTTGTCTGTAAGTATTTCATTCTCTCATTGGTTCCTCCCAGAATCCGGGAGTTTCCTAAGACCCACCAAGCCCCAGGAGCTCACTCATCTCAGCCAGGTGTATGTCCCAGGGCGGAGCCATGATATTGATTCTGACTCACAGGAATCTCGCGGGACAGAGTAGAGAGTGGCCCCTGTGGGTTTCAGAAGTTGTAACTCTTCAGGGCCGTCAAAAGCCTCATCTGTCTCCCTGGGGAACAGCTGGTGGTTTTGATCTGCTGACCTGGTGGTTAACAGCCCGAGGCACTATGCCCCAGAGCTCCTGCCAGCCTTGAACGACGCCCTCCAAACACATCAAACAAACCAAACAAAACCACTGCCATCGAGTCAAATGTGACCCACAGTATTTTGTTAGCCGTCTGCGGCTGCTCAACCACAGGCTCAAGCTATGAGGATGATGATGGCCACGTGTAAGCAGTGCCAATCCTGGGCCAAAGGAGCCCTGGTGGCACCTTGGGTTGGGCCTGGGCAGCTGACTTCAAGGTCAGTGCTTCAAGCCCTCTAGCCGGCCATGAGAGGAAGACAAGGCTGGCTGCTCCAGGAAAGATGGGCAGTCTCAGAAACTCCAGGTGGGGGTCCCTGTGAGTTTTATATCCACTGCATGGTGTGGATTTGGTATTTGGTTCCTGGTACCAGGTGCTGCTCTAAGCACATTCTGTGTGCCAGTTTCTTTCTCATATCCACCCCTGGGCAGGCAGGGTCACCACGTCTGACTACAAATAAACATTGCATAAAGACCCCCTTCTACAGGGAGCATCTTCCTGTCCTGTATAGTCCTGTCGTCTATCTGGCACCATTCCAAAGGGCCACAAGAAGCACCTTCTCACACACAGCCAGCGCACCATGTATCATCTCGGTTATACCCGGAAAACCAAACTCGAATCCAGCTCCCTGCCACTGGGTGTCCCTTGAGGACAGGGAGAATTGCTTCTGAGGGTTCCTGAGACTGTCCGTCTTGAAGAAGTAGAAGTGGGTTGGACTGATAGCCTTGACGTCAGTAGTTTGAAACCACCAACCGCTCCTTGAGAGAAAGAGGAGGCTTTCTACTCCTGTAAACAGTTACAGTCTTAGAACGCCACTGGAGGAGCCCTACCCTCTCCTATAGGATCACCGATGAGTCAGAACTGACCCGATGGCAGCTTGGGTGGGTGCCAAAGAGTCCTGCTTTACAAAGGAGGAAACTGAGGCCCAGAGAGGGGAAGGGGCGTGTCCTGGACCCTCCTGGGTATTCCCGAGTAGCATGGAGTGAGTGGGGGCAGGCGCAGGGGGTGATTCCCAGCTGGAATCTGTACAGAAGTGGAGTGCAGACTCCTTTCCCAGGATACCACTGATGGGCACAATCCCCTGGCCTTCAGGTTAATGGGTGGTCGCCACCAGGGACAAGGTCAGATGGCCCTGGGGGTGAGACTTGGGGTCAGGCTCTGGCCGGAGGAAAGTCCAGGCCCCTGTGTCTCCCCCACCTCCGCCCCAGGTGTGTCCAGCCGAGACTCTGGGCTGCTTCCGGCTGGAGCTGTCGGTGATTGGTTTTGAGGAAGGCCCCACAGTGGAGATCGTGGTGTTCCGCTTGCAACGCCTGCTGGAAGCTCTGGGGGCACAGCTGTGGCAGGCCGGCCAAGGCCCGTGCCCACCCTGTGAGAGACATCCCCAGAGGCCCGTCGACCTCTTTCTGGCCAAGCTCTTGGAGTTATTACAGGGGGCTTGCGCCGGGTACCTCCCAGCAGGATGAGTCTTGGGGGACAGGTCCTCAGGTACCCCAGGCGAGGCTGAGGGGTGGGGTGGGGCACTGACACCAGCCTCAATTCTCAAACCTGTATCTTCTCTTCCTGCCAGGCCAGAGAACCCAACTGCAGCCTCAGGAGCCTGGGAAAGAAGGCGAGAAAGAGGCAAACAAGTAAGTCCGGAAGGAGATCTGAGGTCTCTCAGTTTTCAGGTCAGGGCAAGGGGGCCGTTGCCCTCCCTTGCTCCCCACCCCCTCAGTCTCCCTTCTCTTTCAGATTTTCTCTCTCCTCGCTTTTCCGGACAGGGCAGAGCACTGCACAGGCAGCCTCTGCTCCCATGGCCGTTCCTGGAGGCCTGGCCCATGTGGCTCCCATCCCTGGTTTCAGATTGTTACCACCTGGAGGACGGTCCGGAAACACCGCTGCCCTGGCCTCTGCTCGGAGGTTTTGATGCCGGACTTTTAAAACACATTTTCTTTTTTAAAACATTTTTTATTGGGGGCTCATACAGCTCTTATCAGAATAGATAGGTGCATCCATTGTGTCAAGCACATTTGTATATTTGTTGCCATCATCATTCTCGACACGTTTTCTTTCTACTTGAACCCTTGGTCTCAGCTCCTCCTGTTTCCCCTCCCTCCCCCACCCTCCCTCATGAACCCTTGGTCATTTATAAAAGATTATGATTTTGTTATGTCTTACACTGTCCGACGTCTCCCTTCACCCACTTTCCTGTTGTTCGTCCCCCAGGGAGGGGTCACATGTCGATCCTGGTGATGGGTTCCCCACATTCTTTCTTTTAAGGTACCATTGGCATCCAGTGCCATGCCACGCGCCTGTCTGAAGTGTCCGTGTCAGCGCATCCTGGAGAACATGCCAGGAGCTTCCCATCACCCCAAAAGGTTTTTCTGTGACTCCCCCCTGGGTACCCGGCTCATCTGCTTTTTGAGTGTAGAGACTGGTTTGACCTGCTCTAGCATGTCAGAGGCTTGGGAGCCTATCGGACAGACAGACACCTGTGTCTGGCCCAGCTCAGGTCTGAGCTCGAGGCTCACAGTTTGCACCCTTCTTGTTACAAGCCTTCTTCTTGTGGTTGCAGTCTGCAGGTACCCCCCAGTCGGTTCCACCCTATGAGGTTTGAGCCCACTGTGGCAGCCAAGGCAACGGACAGTCTATTTTGGTGAGAGGCTGACCTTCCCCTTTACCAAGCACGCTGTCCTTCTGCAGGACCCGGGAGCTCCAAAGGATGAGAGAGACAGAGCCTTGCACCATTCTCAGATCCAAGGAGCCAACCAAGGCAGAGCTGTTCGCTTCTGACAGGCCACGCCCCTTCCACCACCTTGGCCAAGGCCACGCTTTGTGCTGACTGGTCTTTCACTGGCAGGGTGCACCCGCATTTGTTGGGCTGTTCTTTGCATGAGGACGTCTGGGCCTGGGTGGGGGTTCGCTTGGGGGGAGGAGGAGCCTGGTATGCCCCCCCCCCCCATCTCTGTCCTCACATGTACACGAATGCTTTGTCAGAGTTGGGAACTCAGAATCACCCAGGGACGGAGGAGGAAGGACTGACTTGTCTTGAGGGGGTGGGCGGGGAGTGGCTGCCTATAGACATTCTCCATTCCACTGGAATCCTGCTATGGAAACTTCGGGAAGCAGCTTTTCATGATGAGTGTCCAGGCCCTCCGCAATCAATTGGAGGCTCAGTTGTTCAGTTGGGGAGCCCGGGTTCCCATTGCTGGGCTGTTATCTGCGAGGCGGGCGGTTCAAATCCACCTGCTGCAAAAATAGATGTGGCAAGTCTGCCTCCGCAAAGATGAGAAACAAACTCACTGCCACCAAGACGACTATTCTGATAGGGCAGGGTAGAGCCTCATCTTTTCCCGACAGAGCAGCTGGTGGACTCCACCTGTTGACCTTGGGTTAGCAACATCTGTAAAGATTGACAGACTTGAAAACCCTTTGGGGTGCTCTAGAATGCCCTGTAGCAGTGGTTCTCCACCTTCCTAATACCGAGACCCTTTCATACAGTGCCTCATGTGGTGGTGACCCCCAACCATAACATTATTTTCGTCGCTACTTCATCACCGTCATTTTGCCACTGTGATGAATCATCATGTAAATATCTGATAGGCAGGATGTATTTTCATTGTTACAAATGGAACATAATGAAAGCACAGTGATGAATCACAAAACAGTATGTCACTATAGTCTGTGAAATACTTATTTCTAATGACAAAGCAATGACATTTTGTCTTGAAGCATGGTGTAGCGTGGGTAAGTCTTCATGCCGGGTACTCATAGGTGGGCGTATCTGCAGGTGGGTGGACCTGCCGGGAGATGGATAGAGGAGCGGTGTCTCAGTTCCTAAGATCATTGGAAAAATGTGTTTTCCGATGGTCTTAGGCAACCCCTGTGAAAGGGTGGTTCGACCCCAAAAGAGGTCTCAACCCACAAGTTGAGAACCGCTGCCCTATAGGGTCCCTATGAATCAGAGTTGATTTGCGGTGGGCTTGAGTTGGGCAATGTGTTTGTGAAGAAATGTACCTCCCTTCTACTCACTCCGTGGTGGCTGATTGCTGCTGTCCCCAGTGGCGGTTGCATTATTTCCCCCTAATATGGTGTATATTAAACTTCTGTGTCATGAGTCCAGCTGTCTGATTGCATAGGTGAGGTGTTTCAGCATTGTGTCTTGCTTGGGAGAACAAAAGTGACCCCAATCTCAAATATACTTTAAGAAGGACACTCAGGAAGCGTTAAAAGAGACAAAGCTAACACAAAGACACAGATACACTTTCCAGACGGGGGAGGCCATTCGCAGGAGGTCATCGCGGTGTTCCAGGACTGAGTCTGGATGCTAGTTAGATCAGACATGGGAACCGCCACAAAGTCATGAGTGGTGGCAGGTCAATACGTGAAAGTTAAAGGTGGGGCTGCGGAGTGGGCACAGGGCCATGATTGAGACACGTGTATTACTACATTAGAAGTGCCTACAAGATTGATAGGGCCTCTGACCAAGGCAGTCAAAGCATGACTGATAGGGCCTGACCCAAGGCTCTGAGAGCCCCAGTACTGTCCCCAGTAAAGTCTCATCATGATTAAAGTCACCCAGCTGAGAGAGACTACCCCTCTGAGGGGTGCCTGGAGAGGAATGGAAGTAATCTACTTCCCAAGGCACTCTGCCTGAGAGAGAGCAAGATTATCTACATCCTTGGTTAAAGATCAGAGGAATTCCGTGGAGGCTTGAAGGAGGGACCCTGCAAATGGATTTTGTCACACATAGCTTTCTGCTGCAAACGGAGTGTTCAGAATTTAAGATCTAATACAGCCTTAAAAGCTGCTCCCCCCACCCCCTACTTCTGTAGAGTTACAGTCTTGGGAACCCACAGGCAGTTCCCCTCAGCCCTGGAGGGTCACTGTGAGTCGGCATTGACTCGGATGGCAATGAGTCGGTTCGTTTCTGTCTGGTTTAGAAAGAGATCGATAAGCAAAACAAAGGCGTTGGGGTCGCCCCAACTTCACAGTCCAGGACGGTTTCTGTTTTCCGAGCGTCCATGTATTTTTCTACAACACGGAATACGGACCTCCGTGGCTCTAACTGGACGCACTCACTGGCTCTGCAGAGACACGGCGGGGCCCGAAGCACGCTTATCGGCGGGCTCGCTGTGAATCGCGATCAACCGCCTGTAAAACTCATCAGGATTGTTGATCCCAACGTCCTGCTCCCGGTGGGGTGGCCGAGGCGGCCGCGCCGTGCTGGGAAGCGGGGGTGGGAAGGAGTGACGCACACACTCTCGCCCACGGGACCCTCCCGGGGACGCCTGATGGCGCAACGCGTTAAGCACGGGCGGTGAGCCTCCACCAGGCCCTCCGCGGGGAAAGGCGGCGGTCAAGGTGGCCGTCGTCGGCTCCCACACAGATTTACAATCTCGGGACCCCCTAGGGGGCCGTCCCATCTCCTACGGAGCCGGTGAGGCGGAATTCACTCCAGGGTGGTGGGAGTTTCGCTTGCGACCCTCCCCGGACGGCAGCTCCCGCGCGCCGCCCCGAGCGCCCGGCCCCGCGCAGGCCGGAGTCCCGGAAGTACGTCGCCCGCGGCGTGCGGCGTAAATCTCGCGCTGGGCGGAGCCAGCGGGCCTGTTCTCGCGAGAGGACCGTGCGGCCCCGCTTGGCGTCGTGTGACCAGCAGCTGGGACCCAGGGAGAGGTGCGACCGGGTCGGTGAGTTGGGGCCCTGTCCGCCGTGCAAGCCGGGGGGGGCTGCTGGGGGCCGCGGAGGGGGGACGCCGGCCTCTGGGCCTGGGGACGGGTAGCAGGCGGTGCGGCGGCCCCTTCGCCGGGTCCCGGTCGCCCGAAGGCGTCTGCCGGAAGTGCGCTGAGGCAATCTTACCCCGGGGAACCCGTAGGGAAACTGAGGCTCGGGGTGGGCCCCGCGGAAGCCGCCGCCTCTCCGATCCGGAGCAGAAGATGTCGGACAGCGAGGACAGTAACTTCTCCGAGGAGGAGGAGAGCGAGCGCAGCAGCGACGCCGAGGAGGCCGAGGTCCGGGGTGCCGGGCGGGGGAGGTGGCGTTGGGCCTGGGGACGGGACCGGGCCGCACGGCCCCTGCGGGGAGCCCACCAGGGGTCCCAGCGGGGCCTGGGGGCGGCTGGGTCGTCGTGGTCGCCACAGAAAAGAGCCGAGTCAGCAAATGGACTCGAGTCTTGCAGTTGGGAAGAATACAGGAGTTGGAGCCGTTACCCTTTCCATGGGGGAGGGGCCCAGCGAGCTGGAGAGACATTGGCGCAAAGACGGCATGGAGTGATGGGGGTGTCGGGGAAGGAAAGGGTATTCTAGTGAATGGAAGCGTGGCTGCCTGGCCGAGGGAGGAGCCCAGTTTGCCAAGATGGGAGTGAACACGTAGTGACAACCCCGGAAAGCAAGGAGCCAGCGTCAGCGTGTTTGACTGGCACACATTTCTCAGTGTACTCTGCCAGTGAGTTGCCAACGCTTAGAAAGGAGCGTAGGGTGTAGTGGCTGGGGTCTTAAAGGCTCGAAGATAAGCCATCGGCCATCTAGCTGAGAAGCAACAAAGCCCGCGTGGAAGAAGCACACCAGCCTGGGTGATCATGAGGTGTCAGTGGGATGATCAGGTATCAGGCATCAAAGCCCCAGAACAAAAAATCATATCGATGTGAACGAGGGGGAGTGCTGAGTGGAGACCCAAAGCCCACCTGCAGACAATTGGACACCCCCTTACAGAAGGGTCACAAGCCGGTCAGGGTGCAGTATAGCACCGATGAAACAATTTTCCTCTAGTTCTTTAATGCTTCCTTCTCTCCTCCCCCTATCATGATCCCAGTCCTACTTTACAAATCCGGCTAGGCCAGAGCATGTACACTGGTACAGATAAGAACTGGAAACAGGGAATCCAGGACAGATAAACCCCTCAGGATGAACAATGAGAGTAGCGATACCAGGAGGGTAAGGGTAAGGTGATGGGAGAAAGGGGGATCTGGGGGATGGACAACAGAAAAGTGGGTAAAGGGAGATATCAGTCAGTGTAAAACATGAAACTATCATAGCAGTTTATAAATTATATAAGGGTGAGGGAGGGAGGGGGGAAAAACGAGCTGATACCAAGGGCTCAAGTAGAAAAAATGTTTTGAGAATGATGTCAACAAAAGTACAAATGTGCTTGACACGATGGATGTATATATGGATTGTGATAAGAGCTGTAGAGCCCCCAATAAAATGATTTTAAAAAGACAGGCGAGCAGGGGCTTTTCTGCTCGTCGGACACAAGGTGTGTTGTGTTGGCTATGGCTGCTCTTGGCTAGCTCCCAGAAGCGGCTGCTCCCTTTAGAACTGGGAGCTCCCACCTCTCCCACTTGCAACACTGGCATTGAGTATCACTTGTCCTTTACCTCCTGCTCCTGGTGGTCAGCTCTGTTGATGTTACCTGCCTGGCTCTTACCAAGCCCTGGTGAGGTAGCGGTTACATGTTGGGCTCACTCGTGCTAACTCACAAGGTTAGCAGTTTAAAACCACCAGCAGCCCCTCTGGAGAAAAGACAGTCATTCTACTGCCCCAGAGAGTTGCTGTCTCGGAAACCCACAGAGGTAGTTCTTCCTTGTTCTCCTGTAGGGTCACTGTGCGGCGGCGGCGTCGACATCGAGGGTGTTTTTGGTGGAGCAGCTGCTTAATCTCCATCCCGCCAGGGTCCCTATGTGAAGAGCACTCTGAGATTTACTGGTCTCTCTTGACCAGGCTTTAGGCACAAGGGTCTTCAAGAGGCAGCACGGCTTGTTGGCATTTAGCAACATTGTTTGGCTTTTATGGTGGTTGCTTTTTATGTGTAGCAAGGGACAGGTGCAAAGTTATCAGGTGGGACATTTTCCACTAGGGAGAAAAGGTGCTCTTTGGTGAGTGGATTTAAAGACAACATCAGGTGAATGGCTGATGTTCATGTGGTTATAACCAGAAGCTTGGCGTTAGGAAAAGATGGAGGATTAGGAAGCAGGGTTTGGGGCTGGTGTGGAATGAGGGATTGGAGGCTGAGAGCCCAGGAGGGGGCTGGGTAAGGATCCAAGTGTTCAAGGCCAGTATCCTGACCTGAGCTTGGGCTATTGGGATGGACCAGAGATAACTGTTCTGATGTCAGAAAGGACATAAACGTCGTGTCGTTGGGAGCTGCAGGCCTGAGGCCAAGTGGGAACATGGTGGCTTTGAGAGGCTCAGGGAACATGAAGGGGAGGCCTCCAAGGGGCTGTTAGCACCTGAGGTCTCTGGTTCAGGGGGTATCAACTGAAGGTGGGGCACTGGGGCAGTGGAGGGGGAAGGGCCAGGGAGAGAGCAGCAAGTGGGCCCTAGTCTGCAGTCTGAGGGTCCAAGTAGCATCTGAGGGAGGAGCTGAGAGACAGGAGGAAAACCTGAGGCAGAAGCCAGGGCACGGCTGTTTCCATGGGGAGGGAGGGAGGGAGGGCCAACAGTGTCAGATGCTGCTGTGCTGTCTTCTAGGTAAGGACAGAAGACTGTTTACAGAATTAACAACATTGGGTGGCCGGTGACCTTGGCACGAGATGGAGATGGCCAGGACATCACTGTCACAGAGGACCACTATAGCCATGGGAGTGGATGCGACATCCTAGGGAGAGTTGTAGAGTGGGAAGAAAGAGGGTCTGAGGACCCTCCTCAGAGTGGTACCAGTTGAAGGCGGGGTGGACGGTCCCCAGCAAGCTGGTTGGTTCAGTAGTGGGAGGAGTCCCGGCCAGCTCCCAGGTCTTGACTGGATAGATGCCGCTGTAGTCAGTGGCCAGGACGGCAGGTGTGTGCACGGACGGAGCAGAGGGGACTGGTTGGCCAGGTTGATCTGAGGTCAGATTGGGCACGTGGGAACCGGGTTTCCAGGTGTGGTAGTCGCACACGGTGCTATCGAGCCGTTTCCCGCTCACACCGACCCTGGATTTCCCACCCTGCAGGTAGAGGAGGAGCGGCGGAGTGCGGCAGGCAGCGAGAAGGAGGAAGAGCCCGAAGAGGAGGAGGAGGAGGAGGAGTACGATGAGGAAGAGGAGGAGGAAGATGATGACCGGCCCCCCAAGAAGCCCCGTCATGGAGGCTTCATTCTGGATGAAGCTGGTATGCTTGTCTCTGTACTTTGGGTTTTGACTGCGGTTTCTTTGGTTTTTGTTACTGGAAATCCCTCCAAATGTACAGCAGCTCAGTGGGTTCTCCACGGACAGGGAGCGCCATTGGCGGTATCCCCGAGTTGTGCCGTTATTCCCGCCCTCCTTTGCCTAGTCGCTCCTCCCCCATGCCCAGGGCTCCTCTGTGTCCTTCACAGTTGCTGTTGTCAATTTGATCCCATAGACCCGGCACGTGCCCATTTAACCACTTAACTCACTCTGTTGGTTAAATGATGGTTTGGGTATTAAGAGGAGTTGGGCCGTGTGGGGTTGAAGCTCTCCAGGTTGTCCCTGGACAATAGTTTCAGAGGTTCACGGAACCGCCATCACTCTAGGAATTCTGGTTTCTCTGAGAAGCTGAAAATCTTTTCTACAGTTCCCCACGTTTGATGAGGATGTTGTGATCAAATCTTTGATCAAAATGTTTGTAAGAGTGAAGGAGAGATTTGTAGACTCTCCTCTTCCTGGGAGCTGCTGTTACGAGGGCCCCCCTGTGCTTCAGCACCCCCACCCCCTGCCTCTGTCTCTTGAAGATGTGGACGATGAGTATGAGGACGAGGACCAGTGGGAAGACGGCGCAGAAGACATTCTGGAGAAAGGTGTGTGGGGGCCCCCCTTTCCACAAGGCCAGATGTTGACCGAAGAGTCTGGCTGAGAGGGTCTTGAGAGTCTGTCTTCTCCAAGCCCACCACTCCCCACTCACCGGCGTCACCTGGCTTACTTTTGTTGCTGCCGGAGAGATCAGCCCCCATCCTTTTCCTTGTGAGCCCATGAGTTTCGAGGGTGGGGGAGGATGGGTTCTGAGGGTGGTGGGTGATGGGTTCTGGGGAGGGGGCTCTCCAGACTCCTGTGACTCCCTTCTGATGGCTGAGGAGTGGGTGGGCTCTGTCCCAAGGTGCCCCCACTTCGTGGGCCAGTGCCCCCTTCCTTGTAATTTCCGTCCTGTGCACCTCATACATTTCGGCTTCTCTCCAACCACCCGGTGCCTGGCCTTTAATTTTGATTTTCAGCCTTCCTGTGTCCTGCCCTACCCCTACCCCGTACCCCCTTTCCTCTTCCCTTCACCTTCCCCTCCCCTCCCCATGGTTGATTTTGCTGCTATAATTTGGCTCATACTTTGTCTGCCCTCGCCCACCACCACCACCACCACCACCACCTCCTCCACCACCACCTCTTCCTCCAAGTAGAAGAGATCGAAGGTAAGACTGAGATGCCCTCACCCCCTTGCCTTCCTCCCATAACTCTACATTGCCTCTGTCCTCTGGCACCCTGCCCTTACCCTTGGCTCTTCCTGGCCAGTCCTGGGGCTGTGACTCACGAAGGGGCCAGAGTCACAGCGTTCTGGGTTCTGGGCCTGGGTCTGCAGTCCTTCTGAGATCAAGGAAAAGGGGGGTGGGGGAGCGCATCCATGTGCCTGGGAGTGGGGGTGGAGATGGGGGTGTCAGGCTCGGGGGGAGATGGACCTGAGGGTGTGTCTATGTGAGATGGGGAGCAGCTGGATTCCCCCCCAACTGTTCGACTCTACCCCCAGGCCTTAGTCATATGGAGAGGGTTGGGACAGGATGGGGACTTCCTCAGGGAGGTGGTTTCATGCCCCAGGGCCAAACTCCAACCCACTTAGGGCCCCCACCCCACTTCTCCAGGTCCTTGACCCCACCATCGGCCCACTTCTTTTCCAGCCTCCAATATCGACAATGTTGTCCTGGATGAAGACCGCTCCGGGGCTCGCCGCCTGCAGAACCTCTGGAGGTGAGCTCGGAGAGCAGGCTCCCGGGAGCTGGCTCCCCTGGGCGGTTGGGGTCACACTGCCCTCCTGCCTGTCCTCAGCCTCCCACCCACAGCTGCTCTCATCCCTGTGCCGTAGGGACCAGCGGGAAGAAGAGCTGGGCGAGTACTACATGAAGAAATACGCCAAGTCCTCTGTGGGAGAGACGTGAGGGCCCAAGGGCAGGGCTGGGGGAGTGGGGGCGGGCCGTGCTGGTAGCCCCAACAACCAACGCTCTCCTCCAGTGTCTACGGCGGGTCTGACGAGCTCTCCGATGACATCACTCAGCAGCAGCTGCTCCCAGGAGTCAAGTGCGTGGGGGGGAGGGTGTTTGGTGTTGGGGGTGCTAATGCCACGGGGCCGATACTCTGAAACAGTCGGGTACAGGCCCCTGGAGGCAGTGGTGGGTGGGAGGGGGCAGGCTAGTGTTTCCTGCCCCTTTGTGGGGAGACGGGGCGAGTAGGGGGTCCCTGGGGTATGGGGAGAGCATTAATGGGAGGGTGTGCCTCCTCCAGAGGGGACAGCTGCCCTAAAGAGCTGCTTTGCCCCTCCTCTCCAGGGACCCCAACCTCTGGACCGTCAAGTGTAAGGTGTGTGCTAGTGCCTGGAGGGGGGGGGCGTGGGGGCCGGGGAAGCACCGTCTGGTGCCTGTCCTGGGTCTTGGCCAGTCAGCTTTCTAGCTGTCTTCCCTCATCGCACTCTCATTCTCCCCTCCCGTCCCTCCTTGCTCCCTGTCCTCACTCCTGCCGTTCCGATTGTCCCTCCAGCTCACTCCATCTCTCTCTTGCCACGTCGTCCTTGCTCGTTAACGTTTTCTCTCCCAGCTGTCTCTTGGCCTCTTCTGTGACCTGCTCACCATCCAATCATCTCTCTCAAGTCTCTCCCTCCCTCTCTCCCTCCTTCTAGATCGGGGAGGAACGGGCCACAGCCATTTCCTTGATGCGCAAGTTCATTGCCTACCAGTTCACAGATACGGTAAGCGCTGGGGAGAGACAGTGCTCTGCTGTGTTCACGATCTGCAACATAGAACAGCATAGGTGACACTGTCCTGTCGAACTTCCTTGCACCTGGAGGAGTTCCCCCATAGGCCTTCTCTGTGCGTGTGTCCTCCTGTGGTGTGCGGCTACCCCAGGATGGGGGAGGTGGCTGTCTCTCTCTGCCTTTTGCTTGGTGCTGCCCTCCCCTGTCCTGTTATTTTTTTGTCCTGCCCAAGGTAATTGTGTGTCTGCACTCCACCCCCACCCCAGCCCAAACAAACAAGCAGACCCCTGCCATCGAGTTGATTCTGACTCACAGCAGTCCAGTGGGACAGCCTGGGACTGCCCTGTGAGCTTCTCTCCGAGACCCAACCTATTTCTGGGGTGGCCAATCCCTTTCTCCCAAGGAGCAGCCCAGCGCGTAACCCTCTGTGCCACCAAGCCTCCCCCCGTAACAGTCAGGGACGGTTCCCTCTGCCTGTGACTCTTTCCTTGGACTTGATCGTTCCTATGGTCTCGCATCATATTGTCCTTTCGGATGGACTCGTTTTCTTCTGAGGAGCCCTTGTGGCGCTTTCGGGTAAGCCTTGGGCTGCTAACCTCAAGGTCAGCAGTTCAGACCCACCAGCCGCTCTTCGAGAGAGAGAGAGAGAGGGGGGAGGCTATCAGTGCCCATCGAGTTTACAGACCCTAACTGGGGCTGCGGTGAGCCACAATTGCTTCGGTGGCAGTGGGTGGGATGTCCCTCAGCATAGTGTCCCCGGCTCAGCCTTGTCTGTGAGGTCGTTTCACAGACTCCTGTGTGGAAGCCATTCTGTCAGTCTGGGCATCGTGCAGTTGGGCTTCTATCAGGAACATGGTACGGGTGATCCTTTGTGTGGCTTCTTCCTGGACTGACGTTTCTGATCATCTCAGGTGCCTCCTTCATCCCCAGCAACAGTGGTGAAGAAAGCGGTCTGTCTCCCATCTTCGTATAGTCACTCCGCTCGCCTTTCCTTGCTTCTGGCTGCTCTGCCCACATGCTGTGACGTGTGAAGGGCTTCAAAAAGCTTGAGGGACAATCCTTTTCCCGTGGAATTCTGTATTTCCACGAGCCTTTTGCGTCCGTCCGTTCCCCCCCACCCCACCCCCCTTGGTGTCCTCCAGGACCAGGACCTGGTTTGGTTATTTGACCCTGCTGTGTGGTGTTTCGTGATACGTTGAAGCCGTTTGTTTCCTGTAGGGCCAACTCTTCGGGGGCCGTCCTGGTATCCTGGGTGGGGGTTTGGGACTGGCGCTGCCGCCGCGGTAGCTCACCAGCTCCTCCTCACGCGACAGCCCCTGCAGATCAAGTCGGTGGTGGCCCCAGAGCACGTGAAGGGCTACATCTACGTGGAGGCCTATAAGCAGACCCACGTGAAGCAGGCCATCGAGGGCGTGGGCAACCTGCGGCTCGGCTACTGGAACCAGCAGATGGTGCCCATCAAAGAGATGACCGATGTCCTCAAGGTGGTCAAGGAGGTGGCCAACCTGAAGCCGAAGTCCTGGGTCCGCCTCAAGCGGGGCATCTACAAGGATGATATCGCTCAGGTGCCTGGCGGTGAGGGACGGGGTGGACTCCCAGATCTGGTGTTCCCGCCCCTTGTCCATGTGCAAGGAGCTGTTTGGAGAGAGGCTCAGGAGTAGAATGATTAGGCCTTGGTGACTAAACCTGGGAGATGAGAGGAATCTTGGCAGACTTGGGGTTTCTGGCTTGGGAGGATTGGGGGTGGGGGGTTAGGGTCTAGAGAGGTGCAAGTTGGGGGAAAGGACTGTTGGCACATTGAGTAAAATCTGAAGAAGCTGCAGGCGTGAGCTGCGTGGTACCCCGGGGATGTGTGTGCCAGGCAGAAGGGACAGCACCTGAAGTGGGGCCGCCCGAGTGGCAGGAGATGAGCTTTGGGCGAGGGGCCTCCCCGCCTGACTGGGCTTTGGGAATAGACCAAGGGTGATCCTGTCCCCGAGGGGACACTGACAGTCTTGGGAGACTTTTTTCAGTTGTGGCAGCTGGGGAGGGGGTGGTACTGACATCTAGTTAGTAGAAGCCAGGGGAGGCTGTTTAAACACCCAGGTAGCCCCCCATCCCCACTGCCTGTGCAACAAAGAGCTACCTGTCCAGGAGGCCATGTTGAGGCTGGGGTCCCCTGGAGGAGGGGGAGCAGTTGGATCCTGCCTGGGTTTTGAAGCTGGAGCAGACCGGAACTGCTCAGAGATGCGAGCAGGTGTGAGAAAGGCTGGAGTCAAGAGATGCCCTGGTGGCGTGCCTGAGCACAGCATGGGCAGAGTTAGGGAGCCAGTCGAGGCACCAGGAGGTCAACTACAGACAAAGCATCTTTGAAGCCCCCTCGCCGGCATGGTCATGCAGCCATGGGCATTCCGTGCAGAGTTGGGGGGTGATCGGGCTGAGGGGAGAATTTGGGGAGCTATCAGGTCTGCTTCCTTCCCCCATTATTCCTTTCCCTGCCCCCTTCCTCTGTGTGGGGCTGGGCGCTCTGACCACCCCCTATCCGTCCAGGTGGATTACGTGGAGCCCAGCCAGAACACCATCTCCCTGAAGATGATCCCCAGGCTGGACTATGATCGCATCAAGGCCCACATGAGTGTGGTACTGTGGCTGGTAGGGGGTGGGATGCAGGGCTGGATGGGGGCCCCTGGCAGCTGGGCCTCCCCCTCACTGCCCGCCCCCGTCCCTTTCTCCCACAGAAAGACTGGCTAGCCAAAAGGAAGTTTAAGCGACCACCGCAGAGGCTGTTTGATGCCGAGAAGATCAGGTGAGAGGCCCTGGGCCAGAGCAGGGGGTGTGCCTTTAACCAGGGCGCTTTGAAAAGGGTGGAGGGGGGACGACATCATCTCTTTTCAGTCCATCACAGCCCTAGGGGCTCCCCGCAGGTGTAGGCTGTGTGTGGTTGGCTGGGTAACCTCAGGCAAGATGGGAAATCCCTGGGACTCAGTTTCCTGCAGTCTGAAGATAGACGAAAGCATCTCCCGTGCCCCAGGTTACAGGGCAAGGTTGGGGGTTAGCGTGGCCCTCGTGTCCACACAGTAAGCGCTCTGACAGCTGTCATTGGCCAAGTGGGATTCTCCCAGCAGGCCAGGCTGCTGAGCCTACTGCGCCCTGGTCTCCTTCCTGGAGTAGATGGGCTCAGATGCTTCTTCCCACTGCTCCCAGCTGGGGGGCGGGAGGTCGATCATAGGAGTTGGGGGCTTCCAGCCTGTCAATGCAAGCAGGCATTCTGGCGTGGAGGAGAGTCTGTCCGGCCGGAGAGAGACTTTTGGGAGCTGTCCAAGTATGGTGGCAGGAGGGGCCAGGGCAGGGCCTGGAGCCGTCAGCAGCCTTCTTCTCTCTGGTCTCCTCTGGAACCAGCTGTAAGGCTGCCAGTCAGAGGCCTAAGTACCAAAACGAGACAGATTGTAGAATTTCCCTTTCACGAGCACCCAGGGGCCCTGTCTCAGTGGACCCATTGACACCATTGGTCCCTGTCTCTGCCGGACCTCCAGTTACTGTGCGGCAGAGAGCACATACGGGGACCCTGTGTGCCCAGCAGGGCAGGCTCACCTCCCCGCCTCCCCCCAAGATTCAATGTGGGGAGATGGTGGAGGGAGCACAGTAAGGCAGGAGGGGCTGGCCTGGGTTCTGGCCCCTTAGAGCTAAGGCCCCAAACTTGCTAGCTCTTCCCCCTGGGCATGTGGTGTGACTTCCCTGAGTGGGTCCCCTCGCCTGTCAGACAATGTCGTGGTATTACTGCCCTCACAGGGTGGCAGTCAGTGAGCCCAGCCCACCCGGGGCTTCCTCCCAAGCACCAGCACCTCTGCTGGCAACATCGGGGAAATGGCAGCTCCCTCTGGGAGCAGATATTACAGTCGGGGGCGCCAGCCCCTGTGGATACAGGCAGACTGTGGCTGCAGAGGGCAGAGGAGGTGCTGTGGGCCCCTTGTTGAAACAGGTACATGGGGGGCCAGCTGGGGAAATGCAGGTACAGCAGTTGATCTCCCGACTCTATTCTCAGGTCCCTGGGGGGCGATGTCGCCTCTGATGGTGACTTCCTCATCTTCGAGGGGAACCGCTACAGCCGGAAGGGCTTTCTCTTCAAGAGCTTTGCCATCTCTGCTGTGGTGAGGGTCCCCCCCTCCCCCCCAGGCGGCTGGGTGGGTCTGGGTCTCAGAGGTAACTCCAGAGCTGGCCTTCCTCCGTCCCTCCCCTCATCCCCCCCTGCCCCCACATCCTCAGATCACCGAGGGTGTGAAGCCCACGCTCTCGGAGCTGGAGAAGTTTGAGGACCAGCCAGAGGGCATCGACTTGGAGGTGGTGACAGAGAGCACAGGTATTTGGCCCCCAGCCCTAGCCCCAGCCCTCCAGGAGGCAGTGGCCCCCGGGGCAGCCCCCACCTCAGTCCCGTCTGCCCCGCAGGGAAGGAGCGGGAGCACAACTTCCAGCCGGGCGACAACGTGGAGGTGTGTGAGGGCGAGCTCATCAACCTGCAGGGCAGGATCCTCAGCGTGGACGGCAACAAGATCACCATCATGCCCAAGCACGAGGACCTCAAGGTGAGCCCGCACCGGCCTCGTGGCTCGGGGCTCAGGCCTGGATCTGCGCCGTCGGCTCAGCTAGGCCTGGCTGCCTGGGCTTCCCAGGTCCGAGGGGACATCTCTTTGCCGGGTGCCCACAGGATGGGGTGAGACTGGTGGGGACCTTTGGGGGAGGTTTCGTTTTGGGGGGGGGGGCACCCAGGGGTCAGTTTTAATTGATATGCGTTCAACTTGGCCTGGTGTCATGCTGTGCCCGGGGCTGGGCTGAGGTTCAGGAGGGGAGGAGATGCGGGTCTTGCTCAGGGAGGGCGGGTCTTGGTGGCTGGCTGTGTGGATGGAGGAGTTCCTGGTGTTCTGTGGAGCCAGCGAGTGGTGTGGCCTGTTTTGTTTCTGAGAAATGGTGGTTCAGGGGCCCTGTGAACACTTGGGTGTGGCGGATCCATGGTGTAATTGAAGGGGGCTGGGCTTGTGAGTTTCCGAGGGGCTCCCGGCCTCTTGGTGCTAGGCTGTCTCCGGGTGGGTCTGCGGAGTTGTCTGGGTTGGGCCAGGTGTCCCGGGAAGGCTGTCCGGGGGCCTGAAGGGCTGTCTAGGGCCAGGTCCCCTGCGGGGTACAGGTTGTCTGCTGGGCATTGGCGGGCTTGGGCAGTCTGTGGTCGGAGGGCTACAGGCCCATGGGGGACTTTGGCTCCCATACCACTTTGGAGGACAGCAGTGAACTAAAACGATGAAGAACTGGGTGGTGTAGGCACCCCCTCACCTCATCCCACCACCCCAACCCTGCAGGATATGCTCGAGTTCCCCGCTCAGGAGCTCCGGAAGTACTTCAAGATGGGGGACCACGTGAAGGTGATTGCCGGCCGCTTCGAGGGCGACACAGGCCTCATCGTGCGGGTGGAGGACAACTTTGTCATTCTCTTCTCAGACCTTACCATGCACGAGGTAGGGTCAGGGGCAATGCAGGAGGGGCGTGCACCCACCCCCCTGACCAGAGACCCAGGCAGGGGCCACGGGACCCACCTCCTCCCTTTGCTCCTCCTGGGCAGCTGAAGGTGCTCCCAAGGGACCTGCAGCTGTGCTCTGAGACGGCCTCGGGCGTGGACGTGGGCGGGCAGCACGAGTGGGGCGAGCTGGTGCAGCTGGAGCCGCAGACGGTGGGCGTCATCGTGCGGCTGGAGCGCGAGACCTTCCAGGTAGCTGTGTGTCCTCCCCGCCCACGGGCCCTGTCCTCCCACCACCGGAGAATCAGGACACCACCGTCGGGCGGGGAAGTGGCTGAGCCTTCACCAAAGTCTGGCCTGGGCAGAAATTAGCCTTCTGGGCTCGACCAGAAGGGGAGGGTAAAGTCGCAGTGGTCTTACTGTTGCCCCAGCCCCTTTCGCAGGGCCCCGAGTCCCCCAGAGAGGATAGCATGCATGGCCAACAGTTTTGGTGCGTAGGTGCCCCACTGCCGATGTTGCCCATGTTGGACTAGGAGTCAGGAGTCTGCCTCCAGGGGCGTAGCCCACTAGGAAGCCCTGCTCCGCCTGCCCCCATAGGTGCTGAACATGCACGGAAAGGTGGTGACCGTCAGGCACCAGTCTGTGACCCGGAAGAAGGACAACCGCTTTGCAGCAGCCCTGGACTCGGAACAAAACAACATCCATGTGAAAGACATTGTCAAGGTCATCGACGGCCCTCACTCGGTGAGCACCCCAGGCTGCTGCTTAGCTGCCGTGATGGGGTGGGACTGCGGCTCGGCTTGGCCATGAGCCACCCTCCCCTCCCGTTCCAGGGCCGGGAGGGCGAGATTCGCATTCTGTTCCGGAGCTTCGCCTTCCTGCACTGCAAGAAGCTCGTGGAGAACGGGGGCATGTTCGTCTGCAAGACCCGCCACCTGGTGCTGGCAGGGGGCTCGAAGGTGAGGTGGGTGGGGGACCTGGAGGAGCCACTGGAGTGGACTTGTGGTCCAGAGGGCAGGTGCTTGTCACAAAGTCACTCAGAAATAGGGCTCCTGAGCTCCTCCGTTCACTCACGGGAAGCAGCTCGGTCCCTGCGGGCGTGACTTGTGCTGTCACGAAAGAGTGACGCCAATCAGGAGACAGCGGTTCACAAAGGCCTCGAGAGCGGGGACACAGCACTGCCCCAGTGCAGGCGTGAGAGCCATACAGCAAGTGCAAAGGCCCTGAGGCAGAGTCACAGGGACCACATCAGGAAGGAGACCAAGGGGGGGTGGGGGGACTGGGCAGCTGGAGAGGGAGAGGTGGCCCCTGGGCAGTTTGGAGCAGGAAGGCCAGCAGTTGGGCAGCCCAGGGTGGGAGTGTCCTCCCTGCCATTTGGCTCTGCTTGTCCTCTAGCCCCGTGACATGCATAACTTCACCATGGGTGGCTTCACCCCGATGAGCCCCCGGATCAGCAGTCCCATGCACCCCAGCGTTGGAGGTGAGGAGCGGGGAGGGGGCTGCTTTGTTCAGCTGCACTCACGGACCGTGACTGAGCACCCCTGGCTCGCCTTACTGGCTTAGAGTTGCCGGGGTGGGGTGTGGGGCCTATCCCATAGTGACAGCCCAGAGCGGTTAGGGCTTGGATCAGGGAGCCCAGAGGAGGCACCTTGGCCTCCTGGGGGAGGGGAGACGGGCAGGTAGAGAGGGTTTTGGGGGTCCTCTGGTTGTGGCCATGGTGTGGGAGGAGTATACCACCCTGGGCGGCTCATAATATCCCCATCCCCCTCTTAGGTCTGAGTGGTGGCTTTGGTGCCCCGGGCGGTGGCATGGGCTTTGGCCGCGGCCGAAGAGAAAACGACCTGATTGGCCAGACTGTGCGCATCTCTCAAGGGCCCTACAAAGGTGAGCTGGGTGACCAGGAGTGGGGGGTGTAGGGGCAGGGGAGGGGCCGGCCTGACCCTGCTACTCCCCACCAGGCTACATTGGCATGGTCAAGGACGCCACCGAGTCTACGGCCCGTGTGGAGCTGCACTCCACCTGCCAGACCATCTCTGTGGACCGCCAGCGGCTCACCACTGTGTACGGCCGCACTGCGGGGCCCGGCCTGGGAAGGTGGGCGGCTGGGTGGCCATTGCTGGGAAAGGCCCTGCTCAGCCCTCATTCTCCACCCGCAGGGACTCGCAGCGCTCTGGCAGCATGACCTCCGACAGTGGACGGACCCCCATGTACGGCTCCCAGACACCCATGTATGGCCCTGGCTCCCGCACGCCCATGTATGGCTCCCAGACGCCTCTCCAGGACGGTGAGTGCTCTGGGGTGCAGGGACAGGGCAGGGAGGGGCAGGACAGAATAGACGGTCTCGTTCACCTCCCTTGTTCCAGGAAGCCGCACCCCACATTACGGCTCGCAGACGCCCCTGCATGACGGCAGTCGCACACCAGCCCAGAGTGGTGCCTGGGACCCGAACAATCCTAATACGCCATCCCGGTAAGGGCCAGGAGCTGGGCCCATGGGGTCTGAGCCCTGCTCCATCTACTCCAAACCTTGCCACTTCAGAAGCCAGTGTGTGCCGTTGAGACTTAGGGGCAGGGGTCGTCTGGCCGTGTTGCCATCTCCTCAGCTGGCCTTGGGGCGGGCTGAGGGGACATTGGAGCAGCCTGTGGTCAGGGCCTGTGGGTAGCCGTTCTGCAGGCCCCAGGCGCCTTGTTGGCACCATTCTCAAGGAAGCTCTCCCACAGGGCTGAGGAGGAGTACGAGTACGTCTTCGACGAGGAGCCCACCCCATCACCCCAAGCTTACGGAGGAACCCCTAACCCCCAAACGCCTGGCTATCCCGACCCCTCATCCCCACAGGTCAACCCACAGTACAACCCACAGACGCCAGGAACACCAGCCATGTGAGTCAGGCCTGGCCTGTCCCTGCCCAGCCCCTGTTCCTATACCCCTCCTTCCCCACCCTTACCACTGCCCCTCCTCTTGTCCCTGCAGGTACAACACAGACCAGTTCTCCCCCTACGCTGCCCCTTCCCCACAAGGCTCCTACCAGCCCAGCCCCAGTCCCCAGAGCTACCACCAGGTGGCACCAAGCCCAGCCGGCTACCAGAACACCCACTCGCCGGCCAGTTACCACCCCACGCCATCACCCATGGCGTATCAGGTACTGGTCAGAGTGCATGGCCTCAGCCAATGGCGACAGCCAGGCCAGGTGACCTGATCCAGGTGACCAACCCTGTCCCCTCTGCCCCACAGGCCAGTCCCAGCCCCAGCCCTGTTGGTTACAGTCCAATGACCCCCGGAGCTCCCTCCCCGGGTGGCTACAACCCACACACGCCAGGGTCCGGCATTGAGCAGAACTCCAGCGACTGGGTGACCATTGACATCCAGGTGAAGGTGCGGGACACCTACCTGGACACGCAGGTGGTAGGGCAGACAGGCGTCATCCGCAGCGTCACGGTAAGTGGGGCCCAGGGTGGAGACTGGAGAGCCACCTCCCCGGGTACCTTCCTCTCTGACCCATTTCCCTGAGCACCACTCACTTCTGGGCCAGGCTGCTCCCTTAGCTGAGAGCCCTCTCCTTTCCCTTCTTTGCCGCCTTAACTCCTAGTCACCCTTCAGCTCCCAGCTTACAGTCCACCCTGGTGGGCTTCCCGGGTTACTCAGCTGGGGGTTGAGTCCTAAGTAGATAGTCCTTCCACCTCGAGGTGGCCCTCCACCTAGGGGTCCTTCAATAATGTGAACTCAACTAAGGAAGCATCAGAGACCCAAGATAGTCCACATGGAGTTCACATTCCAGAGGCATGGCACACAGTTGTGGGGGCGGCAGGGGAAGAGACTCTTGAGCCAGCTGACTCAGACCCAACCTGAGGAGCGCTGGGGACAGATCTGGGAGGACTTCCAGGAGGAGCTGTCTGATCTGAGATCCAACAAATAGGAACAACCAGCAAGGGCAGGGCTTAGGTGTGCCCAGGCAGCGTGAGCTGCAGGTCCACAGGCCTGTGGTGAGGGAGGGCTGACGAGCCCGGTCCCTGGGGGGGGGAGGCGGTGCTCCCCGTGACCCCAAAGGGCACAGCCCAGAGGAAGGGAGGGCACTGACTAGGCCGGGTCATGGGCAGCTGGAGGGGGAGGGGGTCAGGGATGGAATTCATCCTCTGTTGCTTTTGTCTGGAGTGGGGAGGGGAGCCCAGAGAGAGGACAGTGTTCAGGTCTGGGAGGAGGTGACTTGAAATGAAGGCTGTCCTCAAGATGGGGGCCCTGGAGGAGGAAGACATGGGGAGGGGGGCATGAGGGGTCAAGGGTCCAAGAAGTAGTGCTTCCTTTCCTGGCCTTGGCCTCCCTTCCCTAAAGCCCCTACACCGCCCCATCAGCCCCAGCCTAGCCATGGGTTGCCCCCTGTCACCTTGGGAAGTGACTTCTCAGAATGAGGCCCTAAGTATATGTCCTGTGGGGTATGTGGTTAGCCCTGTCGGGGAGCAGGACAGGCTGACCAAGTTGTGCCCACTCCAGGGAGGCATGTGTTCTGTGTACCTGAAGGACAGCGAGAAGGTCGTCAGCATCTCTAGTGAACACCTGGAGCCCATTACCCCGACCAAGAACAACAAGGTAAGGGTGAGGGCCAGCTGAGGGCCTTGGCGGGCAGACACAGGCCCCTGACCCCATGCCCCATCCCCCAGGTGAAGGTCATCCTGGGTGAGGACCGGGAAGCCACCGGGGTCCTGCTGAGCATCGATGGCGAGGATGGCATTGTCCGGATGGATCTGGATGATCAGCTCAAGATCCTCAACCTCCGCTTCCTGGGGAAGCTCCTGGAAGCCTGAGGCCAGTGGCGGGGCCTCTTGGATTGCTGGTGGGAGTTTGTGTCCCGCCCGCCTTCCCTGGGCTGGAGATCTGGGCCAGGAGCCAGGCAAGAAGGGTGTCAGAATGCCCTTTGTTTTCCTTTCTGGGCTCTATCTCCTCCCTTCTTGATGTTGAAAGGCTCAGAGTAGCCTCTGGGGGCGGTTTTCAACTTTTTGCACCACCCTCCCAAGCTCCTCTTCTCTGTTACGATCTTTCAATAAAAACAATCTGTTTGGTCAGAAGTCTGGTGTGTGTCCATGTGATCAGAGGGAGGCGTCCCCTCCAAGAGAGGGGACCTATTATATGCAGTCCTCTCTACTTTGTGACCTTAAGCAGATAACCTTGGGCCCTGTCTTCACCTAGAAAACACTGGCACATAGCACCCCAGCTCCCAGACTGGACGCCATAGTTGAGGTGACCCTGGAAGGATGGCTGATGGGCTAGCATGCTACTCAGGAAGTTACGGGACAGCAGTGCTTATTGGCCAGGCCAAGCCATAGCACGCCGAGCCATCTGGTCCATTCCCACTCCGCATCCCTCCAGGACAGAGTAGCACTGCCCTATAGGGGTGCTCTGCTGGCTTTGTGCTGGGGCTGCTGCTGAGCGAGGCCACTGCGCTCCCCTGGCTCCCCCTCCCCCCCAATTTCCAGGTAATCACAGGACTGAATACTGCGCCTTTTGTCCACGTGTGTCTTTCCATTAGCACGTTCCCTTAGCTTAGGTGATCTGTGTTAAAGTTGCTGTTTTTAAAAGCTATGTTTGGTAACTGAATTTTCCTGCTCACATAATTTGGGGGAGATTCATTTGTGACGACTGCCTCTAATTCATAAGATTTTGTACCCTCTGAGTCAGCCCTGGCCAGCGTAACCATTAAGCCCAGCGCTTTAATGGTCACACATTGGGCTGCTGAGCCTAACTGCAAGGTCAGCAATTCTGGGAAAAACAGCCCCTCTGCTGAAGCAAGATAGGCCTTTCTACTCGGAGTCCTGGGGGTGTAGTGGTGACACGTTGGGCTGCAACCTGGCAGTGGAAACCACCAGCAGCTCCTCGGGAGAAACGACTTTCTACTCCCATAAATAGTCTCAGAAACACAAGGGGTCACCATGAGTCAGCACTGACCGAATGGCAGTGAGGTTTTTTCCCTACACTGTAGAATAATGGTCTCAGAAAAATGGGTGCATAAGCAAATGTGAAGAAAGCGGATGGTGCCAGGCTATCAAAAGAGGTCTGGGGTCTTAAAGGCTGGAAGATAAGCAAGCGGCCTCCTAGCTGAGAAGCAACAAAGCTCACATGGAAGAAGCACACCAGCCTGGGTGATCAGGAGGTGTCGATGGGATCAGGTATCAGGCATCAAAGACCCAGAACAAAAAAATCATCAATGTTGACTGAAAAGGAGTGTGGAGTGGAGACCCAAAGCACATCTGTAGACAACTGGACATCCCCTTACAGAATGGTCACAAAGAAGAGATGAGCCAGGGCGCAGTATAGCACCGATGAAACGTACAACTTTCCTCTAGTTCCCCCTGACTATCATGTCCCAGTTCTACCTTACAAATCTGGCTAGGCTGGAGATAAGAGCTCCGCACAGAGTCCAGGACAGATAAACCCCTCAGGACCAACAATGAGAGCGGAAGTACCAGGGTGGGAAAGAGAAGGTAGGGGAGAAGGGGGACTGATCACAATGATCTACATGTGACCCCGTCCCCGGGGGACGGACAACAGAAAAGTGAGTGAAGGGAGACATCAGCCAGTGTAAGACATGAAGAAGGGTGGGAGAGGGGAAAATGTGATACCGAGGGCTCAAGAAGAAAAATGTTTTCAAAATGATGGCAACATATGTACAAATGTGCTGATGGATGGATTGTGATAAGAGCTGTAAGAGCCCCCCAATAAAATGATTAAGTAATAAAAAGAATGATGTCTCCCAAACCCACAGGGGCCGTTCTACCCTATAGTATTGCTGTAACTCCATGGCAGAGTGTGTCAGCCCAGCATGCCCCTTGGCTGGGCTCCCAATGAAATGGTAACCAAATTCCCAACCCACCGCCCGGGTAGAGCTGATCCTTTGGGGCATGAGGGTCTTGCAGGCTGTAGCCCAGCGCTTACCCCGCAGCGCCACCGGGGCTCGTTTTAAGACTCTCAGTGGGAGGGGCAAGAAGGGCTCAGAACGGTGGCGGAGGCAGAAGCCCATTCCCAGTGCCACGTGAGCGAGCACGTGTGTGCAGGCGGCTCTGGGCCCCCCCAGTTCTGATGACTGAGAGGGACCCGGCCGAGGACGAGAACTCCCAGCCTCGGGGGCAGTCGCTTTCCGGACAAGCCGGCGGCCACTAGGATAACCTGGGTTGGTGGTCTCTCTGTGCCTCCGCAGTGAGGCATCCGTCGCCGCGTCCCGTGGCTGGGGCCACCGGTGGTGCGGCGCCCGACCGCTCGAGGGGGGCGTGGTGCTGGGGCCAGAGGAGGTCCCGCGGCCGCAGGCCTCCCGCAGCCCTTTGTCTCTCTCGGGCTCCCGTCCGCCCGCCCCGCCCCTGCGCGCCCATTGGTCGCAGCCCGGCCGGGGGCGGGTGCAAGGGGCCGAGGGGGCGGGGCCGCGTGGCGTCAGCGCAAAGATGGCGTCTTCGGCGGCGCTGCTCTTGCGCTTGCGGAGCGGGCTCTCGCCGGGCTCCAGGGGGCTGTGCACGAGGTTGGCGACGCCACCCCGCAGGGCCCCGGAGCAGGTGAGCGGGGCGGAGGTGGCGCCCCGCGTGCCTGGACCCTTCCTGGGGATTCTGGACGGCACGCCGCCGCCGCCGCCGGGGACGTCGGAGACGCCCCACCTCTGGGTGCTGAATGGAACGCCGTGGCCTCCCGCGTTCTGGGGCGCTCCTCGGCCTCCTGCCGTGGGCAGCGCGTACTCTCCCGGGGTGGAGGCTGGGGGGCCATGTGCATTCCCTGGGCTCCGTCGCGCACCCACGTGAGCGCGAGGAAGTCACCTGCCCTCTGCCCGTTCCGCCAATACCTGGGGGGAGGGGCGCCGTGCCCTGGGGGTCCGGCCCGGCCTTGGGGGCTGAGCATTTTCCCCGGCGTCGATGGAAGGGAGTGACGTAGGCATTCAGGCTCCCGATTCAACCAGTCCCCCGGTTTACGGCCACCCAGCCCTTCTGATCTCCAGCCACTTCCTCATGCCCTGATAGATGGGTTGCCCCCTGCCCGCCTCTTACCTTTCCTCCTGGACCCCTGCTACCAGGAGCCCCGGGCCACCAGGTGCTTTAACTCCCTGTCTCCCTGTCCAGTTCCATCCCGCAGCTCCAGACGTCCCAATGCCCAGGTCCCCACCCCCTTCGCTTCTCCCCTCGCTTTTCAGGGCTCCAGAGTCTCCCAGGAACTGGAGGATCTATTGCCTCCAGCATCCAGCTGCCCCTGGATCCAGGCTTAGGACTGAAATGTGGTTGTGTCTGTAGGAACGGGTGACCTATCCGCTTCTCACTCCAGACCTGGGTTCTCAGCAGGGACCGGGGTTCCCAAATCACGGGCCTTCCCTCTCTTCTCTACTGGCCAACGTATCCCCCTTTCTCAACCACAGGCAGCCGAGATTGGGAGCCGTGGGGGCGCCGCTCAGGCCCAGGGGTCCCAGCAGCAGCGGGCGTCCGAGGGCCCCAGCTATGCCAAGAAAGTCGCCCTCTGGCTCGCGGGGCTCCTTGGGGCTGGAGGGACCGTGAGCATCGTCTACATCTTTGGTGAGGGCACCGCCCTGTTCCCCTAGTTTTCTTCTGTTGGCCTCCCACCCCATTCCATTCCATCATCCCCTCAGGGTCCTGTATTTTCATTCCACCCTTCCGTAGGGCAGCCACCTGGGACACCCGAGAAGGGAATGGGGAAGGGGGAGTGTCCCGAGGATTTACTCTTTCAAGGGGGCTCCTGGACCAGCCAACTGGGACCAGGAGCCCAGCCTCCCTGCCCCCTCTTCCTTTAGGACCCAGAAGACTGGGCCCATTTCCTCTTCACCCCTGTCCCCCTTGCAGGAAATAACCCTGTGGATGAAACCGGTGCCAAGGTGAGGGGAGGGCCCATTCTGTTGATGGGAGGGTGGGCCCCTTGGCCTGCTCAGGGTCCATTACCTACTCCTTATTGTGGGGGGCTAGTGAGTCCTCTTCTGGGCATGTGAGGGTTCTGCCTCTGCTGTCCCCAATACCCCTCGGGTTTTCTCTCCCCAGATTCCCGATGAATTCGACAATGGTGAGTAGACAAACATGCTGATTGCAGGGGTGTAGCCTCTGCACAACTCCCAGCTTGGTGCCTCCCCTTCCTCCATGAGTGGGGCAGGGGGAGTCAGCAGCTGGATGGCTTTGGACAGAGGGGCATTATAAAGCTTCAGCCCTTTTCCTGGCCCCTCAGCCTGAGCAGATGGTCAGGGACAGATGGGGGAAGGGAAGTAGGGAGGTTAGGGAGACTGGGTGGGCTTCTGACCCCTCCTCTTTATGACCCTCTCCTTTCCTCTAAGCCTCTGCCCCATCATCTGGCTGGCTCTTCATTTCCAGAACAATGTCTCTCCCTCCCACTCCCCTCCCCCAAGGGAGGGGAGCTTGTGGTGTGGGGGTGTCTGACAAGTTGGATGGTAGAGTCCTTGTCAATCCCTATCACACCTGGCCCTTTCCAGGAGGAGAAACTACTGCAAAAGCCACCCGTTAGTACTGGGGAGACGGGGAAAGGGATGGTATATGCTTCTGTAAAGACTCATAGCCTGGGAGACCGCGGGGCAAGTCTGCTCGGCCCCATCAGTGTAGGGTCTCTCTGACTTGGAAAGGCCTTGAAGGGGAGGGCTTGGTTGGGTACGTTTGGGAGTCGATACATTCATGTATTGCTGCCTTCTTAACCAAGAAGACATGGAAGTAGTGTCTGAGATCCACAGACCCAGAAAGTGAGCAGAAAAGCTTGGATTTAAGGTAGATGGCTTTCCTAGCATGACTGGCTGCTGGTGGTGGTCTTTGAAAGACAAGCCGTCGGCCTAGCATTGAGCCGGATGCGCTCATGAGCCAGGAACAAAGGGGATCCAAAGTGAGGAGCCTCCATGTTGGCGCCAGCGACAGTCGGGAGTGCCTCGTTGTTCCAGGAGCCCCGGCAGTGTACTGGGTTGCCACTGCCAGCCGCAAGGTCAGCAGTTTGAAACCCCAGCTGCTCCTTAGGAGAGAGGGAGACCTTCTGCTCCTGTGACAGGCTCAGAAACCAACAGGGGCAGCTCTACCCTGTCCCGTAAGGTGGTTAAAAGCCAGCATCGACTCTGGCAGTGAGTTAATGCTTTGTTGTCTCAGAAGCCGACGGGCAGCTCTGCCCTGGCCTACGGGGTCATGAGGCGTGGGCTTTGCCACCATGGAAGACCCGTGGCTTTTCTGGTTTGGGCAGTCTCTTGTGGGGGTTTCCCAGTACATCCAGCGTATAATTTCGGGCCTCGAGGCCTCCCTACTAGATATCAGTAGCATGGCGATCAAAAAGCCACCCCCCCACACACACACTTTTCATCCCCTACTCCTGGGCTTCCCAGTTTTCCCAGCCTGATGACACCCTTACAGAGGGCAGCGAGGAGGAGGAGGAGGCTGTTCTGTCAGGGAGTCTTGACCAGCGAGTGCACCATCTTGTGCATGTGGGGCTTGGGTTTCAAGAAGCAGGCGTCTGAGAGATTCGGGAACTGGCCCTGAAGGAGGTGGGAACGCCGAGGTATGGGTCGGCAGCAGGCTCAAGAAAGCTGTCCAGGCCAAAGGAATCAAAGACCGCCTGGCACCGGCTGAACCGCCCAGTCCTGGCCAGGAGACTGACTGACAGGTCATCAAGCAAACCTGTCAGCACTTTCCAAAGCGCACATCCACCGTAGCTGAGAACTCACCGCCGATCATCGAGTGAAGTTACAAGACTGCCCCAAAGGAAGCAGAGACCCATGTCTCGGTCAGCTCCGTCCTGGCTGAGCGCTACTTGGTGAAACCACCATGTGGGGCTCGGTTCGCCACGTCTGCACAGACCCGGCAGGCTGGCTGCCTGAAAGCGAGCAGCCCCAGGAGCTCCTAGAGTGGGCAGCGTGGCCCCTCACTGCAGGGCGGCAGAGATGGGCTTGTAGGGGTGAAGCGGGTGGGTGCGTGGCCCGGCTGCTCTGAACTTGGGGCTGACATCTAAGTGAACACTCGGGTATAGCCAGGCAGGCGACAGGTGCCTGCGCCTCTCCCTGGCCGTTCCATCCTTCTGTCCCTCTGCTGTTGGAGCCAGCCACGCATGGCTGTAGCCACGTGTGTGCACGTGTGGTTGGTATCTGGTGGATTAGCCAGGCCTCGGGGGCGGAGCTGCGGCTCACCCTAGACCCCTTTGTGCCCGGCTGTTCTAGATCCAGTGTTGGTTCAGCAGTTGCGCCGGACGTACAAATACTTCAAAGACTATAGACAGGTGAGCGGGTGCCCAGGCCCTGTCCCCAGACCCCTGGCACTCTGGGAGCTTGCCCACCCCATCCTGCCCTCTCTCGCAGATGATCATCGAGCCCACCAGCCCTTGCCTGCTCCCGGACCCTCTGCGGGAGCCATACTACCAGCCGCCCTACACACTGGTCCTGGAGCTCACGGGCGTCCTCCTGCACCCTGAGTGGTCGGTGTGTCTCGGGGAAGGCAGTCGGGGGCTGGGGGTTCCACTGGGCCTCGATGTGTGTCTTTTAACGAGGCAAAGAGTAAAGACGGGGAAGTGAGAGAGTCAGCCTGGGTCTGCTGTGTGCCTTGGGAGCAGGGGGCCACCCTCATCACCTGGCTGGCTTCTTCTGGGAAAAGAAGGGACACCGGCCCCATTGGGTGGGGCTGGTAGGGGTGTTGTTTAGCACTGGCCAAGTGCCCCCAGAACGTCAGCTGTTACTTCAGAACCCCAGACGTCCACCCCAGGAGTCAGGCAGGGGCCAGTCTGGTTCTGGGCCTTTATCCCCTTGGGGGCTCCGAGGGGAGCTGCTGGGTCCTGGTGCCTAACTGCCCCCCTTGCCTTCCCAGCTGGCCACTGGCTGGCGGTTTAAGAAGCGCCCAGGCATCGAGACCTTATTCCAGCAGCTCGCCCCTTTGTATGAAATCGTCGTCTTCACGTCAGAAACCGGCATGGTGAGGGCCGCCCTGGGCAGCAGGAGGGCCGAAGGGGAGGCCAGGGCGCACCCTGACGCGTTCTCCCTCCCCTCCCGCCCCCAGACCGCGTTTCCGCTCATCGACAGCGTGGACCCCCACGGCTTCATCTCCTACCGCCTCTTCCGGGACGCCACTCGCTACATGGATGGGCACCACGTGAAGGTGCCGTGTTAGGGCCTGGGGGGGCCGGCCCTTGGAGGTGTGGGGAGCAGAGGCCCCGCTCGTGCTTTTGCTGGCGGGGGGTGGGGAGGGACAGGCCTGCCTCACCCTTCCTTCCCTCAGACTGGAGTGGGAGGCAGTTGCCTGGGGACACAGAATTTGTACGAGACTGCATTTTCGTTGTCATACCTGAAGGCAGTGTCAGGGCCACTGGTCTGTCCAGGGCCCAGCAGCCCCTGAGCCCGGGCCCTTTTGTTTGTATGGGTCTCAGCATCCCAGGGTTTCTGCGTCTGGAAGGGTCTGCGGCCTCCTGCTGTGGCTCTAGGCCTGCCTGCACCTCTCTGGGCAGGGGGTGGAGTATTGTTCTAGAACCTTCAGTGTACCAGCGTATGTCGGTCCCCTCCCCACCTGCCTCACCCTCGGTATGGGGGAGGGACATCTGCCTGGGTGGGAGTTCAGGGTGGGGTGGGGTGGTGAGCATGTGCGGGTCTATGTGTGAGTACGTAAGTGTTGGGCCCGGCTATGCCAGCGTCATCTGTCCCTGGGTCTTGGCCTCTGCCCCTTGCAGGACATCTCCTGTCTGAACCGGGACCCGGCCCGCGTGGTCATCGTGGACTGCAAGAGGGAAGCCTTTCGCCTGCAGCCCTATAATGGTGTCGCCCTGCGGCCCTGGGACGGCAGCTCCGACGACCGGGTCCTACTGGATCTGTCTGCCTTCCTTAAGAGTGAGCTGACCTGTGACCCCTCACCTCTGGTTCCAGCCCTCCCTGCTTAAGAACACCTGGGTCTGGCTTGTCTTTAATGCTAAACTGAGGCAGGGAGCGGCAGGAGGTCCAGGCACAGCTGGGGTGGAGGGGCCTCTCCGGCTGCATGGGCTGCTCCTCTGTCACTCAGGAACTAGCTGGGGTTCAGAACCTTGTCCAAGGGGTGAGAGGTGTCCCAGGGAGTACAGTGCCCCAGCATCTGCCCTCTCCCCCATGGGCCTCGGCCGCTGACCCTCTGCCCCTGCCACAGCCATCGCACTGAATGGAGTGGAGGATGTCCGCACGGTGCTGGAGCATTACGCCCAGGAGGACGACCCACTGGAGGCGTTCAGGCAGCGGCAGAGCCGGCTAGAGCAGGTGGGTGCTGCCCGGGCCCAGGAAGACTCCGTCAGGGCTGCTGGCTCCGGGGCTTGGCACTGTTTGACTTTGTGACGTGGGGCTGCCGCTGTCCCTGCTTTCCTCTGTCTCAGGGGTTAGCAGGGCCCGGGTCGGCCTGTGGGCCCAAGGAGAATGAGGGGTGCTCCTACTCAGAACAGAAGGCAGGGCAGCAGCTGTCGGGATCGGCTGGGGGCCCTGGTGGGTGATGGGGTAGGAGGAGGCCTGGAAAGGGGGGAATCTCTGGAGACCTGGAGGTAAGGCCCAAGGGCCTGGGGCAGGAAGTCAGATGGCCTTGGGACTTTGAAAATGGGCCTACAGTTGGATTGAGTCTGTTGACAAGATTCCTGGGCCTTGGCTGAAAGGGCCCAGAGGGGTTTCCTGGAGATTTGGACTTGGGATCCCCTAAAGGACCAAGCAGTCTGGGCAGGGGGCCTGAGGTTAGGGTTGGGTTAGACTCTTAGCTTTGGGAAAGATCTGGGGCAGCTATTACGAAAGTTTGGGGCCCAGTCACTGAGGCTCAGCGGTAGGAATGCCCGGGTCCTGGACCCAGTGGGCTATGACCAGGTTCTGGATCCCTCCTGTGGATGAGTGGCTGCCATGGGAGTCCAGGAAGAGCATTCCGCCCAGCCTGGCCTGACCGCCACTATCTGCCGCAGGAGGAGCAGCAGCGCCTGGCCGAGCTCTCCAAGCCCAGCAAGCAGAACCTCTTCCTCGGCTCCCTCACCAGCCGCCTGTGGCCTCGCTCCAAATCGACCTGACCCCTCGGCAGGCAGCCGCCCACTCAGGGCGGGGTGGCAGCCACACGTGCGTCCAATAAAGTCGGTCCCAGGTGTCACAACTCATGTGTCCACAGCGTCTGTAAACCAGGCTCCGGGCTGAGGTGTGGGCTCTGGGGTCCCCCTCCAGCACCCCCACAGCAGCTCACTGGCTGCAGAGTGTGGAGCAGGGGCTTCATAATAGCTGATCCAGATATCCGAATACCTAGCCCCATTGTATTAGTCTAGGTACTCTAGAGAAACAAATCCACAGCAACTCATGTATAAGAGAGAGTTTTATATAAAGTTTAAGTGTGCATCACGAAAACATCCCAACCCAATGCTGCCCAAGCCCACAAGTCCAACATTAACCCATTAACCCAACACCAGTCCACAAAGTCCTCCACCTCACAAAACAGAGGCAATGATGCCGACTGCAGGAGGAAAGCTGAGTCAGTGAACGAACAAGCATCTCAGCACTAGCAGGGGTCTCCACACGGCTGCTCAAGCACCCAGGGCTGCATCGGAATAGGTCCATGTGGCTTCTCCTTGGGGATGTCTTATAGGAAGTCAATCTTGCAAGCTGAAGCAGGGAACTGCTAAGGCAGCTGCACCCTGGTGTGACCATCACAAAACAAGAGACCCGAGAACTAGAAAGGTGAGGCTCACCACCCATTTATCCCCCCGCCTCTCAATTAGCCCCACGTGATTATCGGCCAGGCTGGCACAATTAACTAACTCACCCATCTTCCAGTGTAGGCGCTGGTTGTCTGCCAAAGGGTGCACCTTCCCCCAGCCAGTGCCCCATCAGTGGATGGGAGATGCCAGGACAGGGGTCAGAGTTATCCTCATCCTGAGAGGGCAGGGCTGCTGCTATGGTGCCCCCCAACCGTACACACACACACACACCGAACCCCCACGCCACCAGAGCCCGGACTAGTATTGGCTCCTAGCCACAGCAGGCTGTCTGCCACAGGGTGACCAGAACTCTGCTCAGGCAGCATCCACTCACTCTGCCTGCTCTGTCCAGCCCAGTTACTAGCGGTCACTTGAAAAAGTGTGACCAGGAAAATAATTTTTTAATGGGATTGAATTTAAATTTGCTACAGGCTCCTCCCACACAGACTGGGGGCTATGTCAACCAGCGATGTGCGCCTGACTGCCCAGCGTGAAATCCGCTCCGCTCCGCACTTGGAGCCCTCTGCCTCCGTGCCCACAGGTGAAGTGTGGGCAGCACTAGTCTCCAGGGCTGGGCTGCAGTCTGGTGAGGTAGCCCCCTCCTGCCAGGTCACTCACACGACAGCTATGGGGGCCTGAGGCACGACATGAGCCTGTGCCTCAGTTTCCTCATCTCTAAAAGGGGCGCATGGCCGTGCTCTTTTTAGTAGGGTGCCTGCGAGGACCACAGGGTGATCCTTCCCCAGGGCGGACTCTGCCCTCCATTTTCCTCCATCCCCCCACCTCCACTAAGGTGGGGCCTGGTTCCGGGCTCTGCTCCGTAGGTCCACCTGCCCCATTTAGACTTGACCGCCTTCTACTGGAGCCCTCTCTGGCCCAGCCACCATGCTGTGTTCGTTCGGAATGTTGTGCCTTTGCTGTGCTGACAAATATGCCTTTGAAACCCAGGGAGCCTCTGAACTCTACGTCCTCTGCGGCTCACAAGCTCTGCAAAGAAGCAGGAGCACTGTCCCCTGCGGTGGGGGGTAGGGGGTGGCCTGGGCCCAGCCCTGTTTGCCTTCAGGTCTCTGCTCAGGTGGGACCCGGAACCACCTGTTGGACGTTGTAAACTCCCGGTACACGCCCTCCTCCAGCCTTCCGGTGTATTCTGCCTCCTGTTGGCCTTGAGGCGTTTCCACCCTGCGTGGGGCCGTGGTTACTCGGCTGCCTTCAGCACTGGAGTGTACGGGGGGTGGGGGTGGGCAGTGTCCTCAGGGATAGGAACAGCCACTGCAGAGGCCCTGAGGGAACCAAGACTTTGGTTCCAGAAAGATAGGTCCTGGTGGCTGGAGCAGGCGAGCGAGGAGAGTCATGGAGTTGAGCCTGAAGGTATCGCAGGAGATCGCAGAGGGGTGGTTCTCTGAAAGACAGCAATGGAGAACCAAGCCTGAAGACATTACAGTAATAAAGGGAGGGAGGGGTCTCCATTGAGGGGCAAGAGGTGGCAAGGCTGCCACCCAGTCCAGGCTGGAGACAATGGGTAGGATGCTAGAGGGCACTTGGGGATGGGCGGGGAGTCCCGGGTCCCAGGGCAGCCGTCACTATTAAGTGAGTTCATTACAGACACGTGGTCTGGTGCAGTGGCTGTCACCTGCTCCTTATTCCCACTATCTGAGTCTGTTTTGGCTCAGTCACAGGGTAGAACCGCCCCTGTGGGTCTATGAGACTGAATTTTTAGTCGACAGCCCATCTTTCTGAGGTTGGAGTGTATTTCAAGACCCCTGGAGAGCCCTTTAGGAGCCCTGGCAGTGTTCTGGTTATGCATTTGGGCTGCAATCCAAAAAGTCAGCAGTTCAAAACCACCAGCAGCACTACAGGAGAAAGATGGGCTTTCTGTGGCAGAGTGACTAATAGTTTCAAACTGCTGACCTTGGGGTTAGCAGCCTAATGCACAACCCACCAGGGTGCCTATGATGCAGTCAAGGGCTTGTGGACGCTAAAGGGAAAGCATGCTGGACAGTCCCTTGCAGGGCTCATTATCCCCAGAACAGCATCCTGATGATAGACCCTCGGGCCAGAAAACCCCCACCCAGCTTACTGAGAGCTCTCCCACCTACATAGCCCCTGATGCCCCAATGTGCCTTCTAAGAACTTGTACTTGAGAGCCATCCGGTCCTCTGGGGGGACTTATGAGTAGGTGGCAGGAGGACCTAGGAGGTTGGAGTGTATTTCAAGACCCCTGGAGAACCCTTTAGGAGCCCTGGCGGTGTTCTGGTTATGCTTTCGGGCTGCAATCCAAAAAGTCGGCAGTTCAAAACCACCAGCAGCACTACAGGAGAAAGATGGGCTTTCTCCTCCCATAAATACTTAAAAGAGTCTAGGGTGGCCGTGAGTCAGTATCGAGTCCATGACAGCGAGTTGAGTTCTTTTCTGGAGAGCCCTGGTGGTGTAGTGGTTACACGTTTCACACGGCGAAGTGCCAGGCCGGCATTCAAACCCCCCAGCAGCTCTGCAGTAGAAAGTCTGCCCTTTCTACTCCAGGAAAAACGGCCTGGGAAACTCAGGGGCAGTGTGCCCTGTTGCCAGGAGCCGGCATCGCCTCAATGGCAGCGAGTTTGGAGTTTGGCTTGAAGAACCGTTGGGAGACGGCAGCACGCCTTGGTCAGGGGTCAGAGTGGAGTGACAGGGTTCCGGAAGGGGGAAAGCAGAAGGGGTGGGACCCGGATGGGGGAAGTGAGGAGGCGCCTGATGGCCTCAGGAGGTGTGCACAGGGTTTCCTAGAGGAGGTGCAGTCAATGGCCAAATGGAGAGACAAAGCACGGAGTGGGAGGGGTGGGGGCATCAGAGTGCAGGGTGTTTGCTGGGTGTAAGAGAAGGCTCTGTCCCTAGGGGCCTCTATGTGGCCCGGCTGGCAGTGCAGCACGATCTTGCACCCAATAGAAAAACGGAAATTAATCTGGAAATGAATGCCTTTGCTTCCTTCCTCTAAAGATTTTTTTTGTTGTTGTGGGGGGTGGTGGTGGTGAAACACCTGCTCATAATTTGAGTTCTCTGCGGTAGCCCGAGAATACTAAGAGGCTGTAGGAGGGTCCAGAGGTGTCCCCTCCATCCTGAGCTAGGGAAGTGGAGGTGGGGGTGGGGCGGTTAGGGGGGGGAAATCTGCGCGGAGGAGGAGGAATCCCCTGCCCGTTTGCTCCTCACACCTTCCAGGGACCAAACGGGAGACCAGCTGCCACCCGGAGAGGGGGAGGGGTGCGGCCGCCGCGCAGATGGCGGCATTTACATACAGCTGGGAGCCCCTTTGAGGCCGGCGCTCCTCAGCCCTGGCCTGGCGTCTGTTGCGTGGTCCTCGGGAGGATTGGGGTGAGGAGGCTGGCATTGTCTTAGGGTTGCGGGGAGGACGCACAAGAACGCGCCCGCAAGTCCACAACCTCAGATCTTCATTGTTGCAACTGGCGGCTACCCGCCTGGGTCTCCAGCCATGCGCTCGCAGTTAAATGCCCATCCAGGTTCGCTTGCACACCCTGACGGACACAACCTGGCACTGCCAGGACCACACACACAAGCCCGCCGGCCAGGATTCTCACCAGCACGCAGTCAGTCACCCAGCGCCAGGGCCTCCCAGGCGGAAAATCGAGGGCAGCCCTGGTCTCCCTCGCGGGCGCCCATCCCACACACAGAAGCTCCAAAGTCCTTCCAACCTCCGGGCCAGGCTCCCTCCACGTCCCCCCGTCTGTGCAGCCACACAACGCCAGGCACAATCACGCAGCTCTGCACACACACACCCCAAACGTAATTAACAATCTCACCCACAGACTTAATTCTGGCCCCAAGCCACAGTGTCGCGCCCCCCCCCCCCCACACACACGAGGCTGCCCGTGCCCACGACCACACAGGCTCTCCCTGCTGGAGGGCTCCATCCCTGCCCCCTCCCCATCGAGCCCCCGCCCTCCCCCCACCCCCCACTCCAAGGCGGGCAGCGGCCCGGAGGGGCGGGGCCGCCCCTGCGGATATAAGGCTGTACGGCCAGCAGCTGCGGCCCTAGAGACCCCTCTTAGCCATGGTCGCCCCGCAGAAGCCCCGGCTCCTCTCCCGGACCTTGTTCCTGGCACTCTTTTTCCTGCCCCAGGTCAGAGGCCCGCGGGAGATGAAGTGGGAAGGGAGAGTGGGGGACCGGGGACCGGAGTCTTGGGGACGGGGAGGGGGCGGGGCGGACTCCCGCAGGACCAAAGCCTCACACTCAGCGCCCCTTTCCTCCCCAGGCGCAGCCGGCCGGCGTCTTCGAGCTACAGATCCATGCTTTCCAGCCGGGGCCTGGCCCCGGGGCTCCGCGGTCGCCTTGCAGCACCCGGGGCCCCTGCCGCCTCTTCTTCCGGGTCTGCCTGAAGCCCGGGGTCTCCGAGGAGCCCGCGGAGTCCCCGTGCGCCCTGGGCGCGGCGCTGAGCGCGCGCGGACCCATCTACGGCCGGCAGCCTGGGGCGCCCGCGTCTGAGCTGCCGCTGCCCGACGGCCTCCTGCGCGTTCCCTTCCACGACGCCTGGCCGGTGAGACCCACCCCGGGGTGCCCCTAGGCTTAGAACCCAACCCACCACCCAAGCCTTCCCTCCTCTTCCTCTTCGCTCCCTTCAAACTTCTCCAACTTCAAACTCATCCAAACCAAACTCACTGCCATCCAGCTAATTCTGACTCATGGCGAACCTATATAAAGGGTAGAATTGCCCCTGGGGGGGTGTTCTGAGAGCCTTTCCAGGGGAAGTTCCATCTTTCACCTTCTAAATTCCAAGGGGTCCCAAATTCAGGGCCCCCAGACCAGTAGGAGTCCCACATTCCTAGGCCCCCTAATCTCTATTTACTGAAAGTCACTTCCCATGGAATCTATTCATAGCGTCCCTACACAGCAGGGGGAAATTGCTCTTTATGAGAGTAAAGAGCCTATCTTCCTTATGCCGGAGCTGCTGGTGGCTTTGAACTGCTGGCCTTGTGGTTAGAAGCCCAATGTGTAACCACTGTGCCACCAGGGCTCCTAAACCCTAGTCACTGGAAATCCCAAATAACCTTGCAGGTGGGGAACTCCAAATTCCCAGAACTCTAAATCCACCCTCTGGAAGTGCTGTATTCACAGGACTCTGCCTCGGTCCTTTGGGCAGCCCTAAATCCTGGAATCCTCATCTCTGTCCCCCTATTCCCTTGCTCCTAACAAGCCCCCCATTCTGCCATTGGGACTCCCACTCTCACTCTGTCCCTCCTTAGTTCTTCCTACTGAGAGCCCCCCATTCCTAACTTCTTCACCTCCAAGATCCTGTGCCCTTTCCCCACAGCCGGAACTCACAGCGGGCACACACCTGTATATGAATTCTAGAGCTAGCCTCAGTTTCCTCAAGGTCCTTGGCAAGAGTCTTTGGTGAGGAATCCAACTAGGTACCTTCACTGAAGTGCTTCAGTAGTTCTCAACCTGTGGATCTCGACCCCTTTGGGGGTCGGATGACCCTTTCACAGGGGTGGCCCAATTCATACAGTAGCACAATGAACAGTTATGAAGTAGCACTGAAACTAATTTTATGGTTTGGGGATCACCACCACATGAGGAACTGAATTAAAGGGTCACGGCATTAGGAAGGTGGAGAACCACTGGATTAGCACATAATAAATTCTCAGTAAAGAAAGCCAACAATTCCATTCCTTCCCTGGGTCAGCCCTCTAGGAATCATCCCTTGCCTGCCTGGTCCCCAGGAATGCTGGGGCTGTAGTGGGTTTCGAATTGGGCTGCTACCCACAAGGTCAGCAGCTTAAGCGCACCACCTACTCCTCAGGAAAAAGAGGAGGCTTTCTTCCCCTGTGAGGAATTACAGTCTTGGAAAACCACTGGGGCATCGACTCGATGGCCGTGCGTTTAGTTTTGGTTTTGTCTGATCACCACAGTTGGCCGTCATGCTTCATCCTTAAATTCTGGTCTTCATCAAAGCCCTGCCTTCACTGATAGCGTCTATCCTCTTCCTTCTCGCTCCCCCAACCGACCAGGGTGCTTTCTCTCTCGTGATTGAGACCTGGCGCGAAGAGTTAGGAGAGCAGATGGGAGGTGAGTGTCTTTGTCCTGGGACTGTGGTCTGGGGTGTTGGGGTCTGCTGTGAGTTCCAGGGTAGTGAGCAGGTCATGCCTGGCATGCAGGATGGGGCCATCCTGGGTGGGGGGGTCACCACAGCTCCTGGATTTAGGGCTGTGCTGACTGCCCCAGCAGCTTACGAACTCAACCTAGGAATGTCTTGGGACTAGATGTGTGTCCAGAGGCCCTTGGTGGGATGGGGGCGCTCTCAAGTTGTCTTGGGATGGGAAGCCACCAGAGCGGGAGCTAACTTTGTCCAACCCTCCGCTGGTGGCCTGTCGCCATTAAGGTTTGGGGGAGCAAGGTGCAGTAGGAGTTCCTTCGGAGTCTTCTCAAGGATGCTCTGCGCCATGTCCATAGAGAGGTTCCCAGGAGCGCCTGGGAGGTGTTGTGAAGATTGGGGTCTTTCTTAACCTTACTTTGGGGAAAGCTTTGATACGAGGGGGATTTTGAGGATGGTGCAGGACCAGGCAATGTTTTGTTCCGTTACAAAAGTGGGACCAGACTTCACAGCCACTAACCGCTGGGATTCTGATGGCATTTTGATACAGAAAGCTCCTAGTTCCCCAGGGTCGCTATTGCAGACATACCCCAGTGACTGCCTGGCTGTAACCAACTGAAGTTTACGTTCTCCGTTTCAGAGGTCTGCATTCAGGGCGCTGGCTCCCTCTCTCTGTGGGGCTCCGGACAAAAAAGGTTCTGGTCTTAGAGCTTCTTTTCCTAGGCAGGCCATCTCCACATGGCTTGGCATCTTCTGTTCCCCTAGCTCGGCTTGCTAGTTTTCATTGACTCTTTTATAGCTCAGAAAGAATGGACTCAAGTCATAACCAAACCCCATGGTGCCCAGTTCACATAACAAAGACAGCCCTCTCCTCAGAGGGAACCTAACCCTAGAATCAAGGTTAGGATTGACAGACAGCACTTGTTTGATTGGGTGGGGGTGGGGGCAGTTCAATCCATAACAGGGTGTAACAGCTTTGCTGTGGGAAAACTGTCATCTCCAGGCCCCCCAAAGTCTCAGGGTGCAAGGAGTCATTGATGGCCTAGTACCTGGAGTCTGTTACCAGTTTGATAGAGGAAGCTCCTGAGGCACAGGATGAGGGGGATCTGGTTTTGTCCCTTGGCCATATGTCACAGGGTGCTATAGGGGGTAATTTATAGCTAGCTGTTACTTTAATATCAAAGGATTTGAGGGCACCACATGGGGTCATTCCACAGCTTTTCGGAGTCCTTTTCACTGCCATTGAGTTGGTTCTGATTCTAACTCACAATGAGCCTATGAGTTAGAATCCTCTGGAGGGTCAGGAGTTTCGTAGGGTTTTTATTTTGTTTTGTTTTTCTTAATGGGGGTGCGGCTGCTTGGAGGCAAACGCTTGGTCGTTTGAGCCCACTCAGCCACCTGGTGGGCTGAAACATCTGAATGATGATGCAAGGGCGCAGGACCAGTCCGTTTTGTTTTGTTGCACCGAGAGTTGCTCTGGGCCAAACTCTGCAACATGGGGACCTCAGCCAAGGCACCCAGAAGCCCGGCCTGGCGATGGGAAGCCCACGGCGCAGGTCTACTCCGCACATGTGGGGGACGCGCCACGAGTGGGGTTGTTTGCGGGGGAACTGTTGCCAACGTGGTCCTAGGGAGCTAGTTGGAATCGCGAGATCTGAGTTTTCTGAGCTTATAGCCTTGCTAAGTGGGCAGTTGCCGCTACCCCGGCGCCAGAGGCTAGCCCCAGGTCCTTTTGGCAACATTTTGAGGTCGCTGCGATTTAGAATCTACGGGACGGCCAAAAAGCTTTTGACTTTTGCTTAACGGGGGTCTGG